AGTCCAGGAAGTGCACACAACCCCAAACAAAAGGAATCCAAAGATGATCACACCAAGACACATCATAATTAAAATGTCAAGGGCAAAAGACAAAGAGAGACTATTAAAAGCAGCAAGAGAAAAACAGTTACCTATAAATAAGGGAGCACCCATATGATTGTCAGCTGATTTCTCAACAGAAACTATGCAGGCCAAACGACACATGGTGCTGTGGACTGGACAGAGCTTCCCGGCCTGTGAGAGGTTCATTCAGCAGGGCAGTGGCTCCGTGGGCACCTTCATTCCAGGCGCAGCTCCAGGCCTGGAGTCCTCCCTGAACAGAAAGCCCTGGGTAATTAGAGCGAATTACATGTGTGCAAGCAGCCGTGGCAGAGGCTGTGGGCCGGCTACCTCTTCCCCGGCCTGCCCCCGTGATCCTGCCCCCTGCGATCCCGCCCCAGCAAAGGGGCTTTGCTGGCCAGCTGGGGCCGAGCGGGCCCTGGCGGCATGGGCCCCAGCCTTTGGGTCCTTAGGTTTCCATCATCTGTGCCTCCTGAGCATTCCTGTGTCCGTGAAGACTGTATCCTGCCACAGGGAGTGCCTGTCCGGAGCTGAGGCCGCGGCATGAGGAAGGGACAGAGTCTGATGCTTGGCTTGTGGTGATCAGTTTGTTTCTTCCTGGATGCACCACAGGATGCCAATAGAGTGACTTTTCTGAGCTTCATTTGCGCATCCATGCCATCATGCCTCTTCTGAGTCGCGGAGTCCAAGGGGAAGGAGAAAGGTGCGAATTCCTCACGTGTGAATGAGGCTTTACACTTGGAACTGCTGGCCGGAATCAGTGATCTGATTTTGTGGTTTCAGGAGCCTTTGGTGGGGTGGGTTGAAGTGGTGGTGTGGTAGGGTTTCATATTTCTAGAGGCCTGGTGCACGGGTGGGGACTGGCGGCCTGCCCTGATGGGTGCCCCGGATCAGGGTGGGGCTCCCTGTTGGGGGGTGGGGCCGGCAGGGGTGAGAGGCCATGGTCATTCTGGTTTTTCTGGTCACTCTGGTTGCTCCATCATTTGGTCGCTGGGATTTTATTATATAGGATAAACTTTAAGACAAGCAGCTTTGCTAGAGATAACAAAGGGCACTCCATAATGATAAAGGGTCAAGCCACCATGATGATAAAGTGGCTCTAAACTTATGTTCTCCCAACAAACTAACTTTAAAATACGTAAGGAAAAAATTAACAGAAGTAAGATATATAAACCTACAGCCATAACACAAGACTATTATCATCTCTGAGGACCTGAGAAGAGCCAGGTAAGAAGTCAGTAAAGAGACAGAAGATGAGAAAAACATGAGAAAAACAATCAATATAACAGAGTTCCCAATAATGACAGAATACATATTTTCTTCAAGTGGACATGAGACATTTATCCAAACTGACCATGTGACTTCCTTCCTCAGGCTGCCAGCACCAGCTTCCCTCTGGCACCCGGGATCTGGCTTCCTTACAGCCCCATCCAGAAGGTCATCCAGAAGGACATCCAGTCTAATTAGCCTATTATACTTTTGATACTATAGATATCTCAATTAATTTCTGAAACAACTGAAAACTATTAGAGTATGTTTAACGATCATGTGGGATTATGCGAGAAGTCAAGTTGTGTTTTTTTTCTTCTTAAGATAACTAGAAACAGAAAGTCTCCAAGTGTTTGGAAACCAAACAGCACTCATCTAGTAATTCACAGGTTGAAGGAAATAATCACAATGAAAATCAGGAAACAAGAAAGGCTGAAAATCAATGATCTAAGAAAATAGAAACAATCAAAGGAAATTTAAAAAATGAGCAGAAATGAATAAAATATATTTGGGCCTTAAATCTAACTTCATTTTTATAGATATCTCTGATGATTTTAATAATACACTGACTTTGTCAGGACCACATCTACCATGTAAACTAAAAAAAAAAAAAAAAAAAAAAAAAAGTGTACTTTATTTTATTAAGAATTTGCCCAAGAATGGTACATCATTTAAGAAAAATCACATCACCAACAGCAAAACTATTTATGGTACATGAAGTTATTGCATCGTTAGTGCAATATATATTGGTGCAATCATCTATCTCACATATTGAAATATTTTTATAACTTTCCTTTTATTTTCTAAGATAAGAAAATCATAATCTTTTAAAATATGTATTTTATTGATATTTTACAGAGAGGAAGAGAGAGGGATAGTTAAAAACATCGATGAGAATCATTGATCAGCTGCCTCTTGCACACTCCGCACTGGGGATGTGCCTGCAACCAAGGTACATGCCCTTGACCGGAATCGAACCTGAGACCTTCTAGTCCGCAGACCGACGCTCCATCCACTGAGCCAAACTGGTTTCGGCTCATAACCTCTTAATAACACCAGTAAAAGCCTAATATACAAATTGTTCCCTCAAGCGGTTGCTCGACTGCTTGCTTATGACATGTGTTGACCACTAGGGGACAGTGCCAAACATGGTGGGTGCCAGCAACGTGGCCCTGGCAGCTGGCAGCAGTGGAGGCACTGCCGGCCCCGATGGGCCCCAATAACAGCAGGACCGCAGCAGGATGGTGGAGCAGGTGAGCAGGCAGCGCCAGATCAAGGAAGGTGTGAGCGGAAGCCTGACTGCCCCACTGATTGCTCCACAAATGGTGACCAGCGGTGGCGGTGGGGGCCAGGGGGTCCAGCCCCGACCCATCACCCCTCAGGTGAGATGGTGGAGCAGGCCAAGGTGGGGTGCCAGGTGGGGCTGCGGGGCTACGAGGCTGGGGGCGCAAGCTGAGGCCCAATCTCCATAGGCCACCCTGAGGGATCCCACCTATGCACGAATTCATGCACCGAGCCTAGTTTCATATATTGAATAAACAAATTATATATGTAGATGTTATACAAATATTATATTATCTATGAACTTCACTTCAAAATAGTAAAAGAAATTAAAAAATATTTTTTATAAAAAGAGAATATTGGGTCTGACAGGATTGAGTACCGCTAGATTTAATGATTTTATATTTTTACTGATGTTAGAGAAAGAGGGAGAAGAAGGGAGGGAGAGAGAGAGAGAGAAACATAGCGATTGGATGGGGGATTGGAAATATTAAATAGAAAAATCTGGAAATAATTCATACATTTTAAATTGCTCAGTTGAGTGATGAAATCTCTCTGTTCCCCTCCATCCCAGGACCCGAGTCATCCCTCGGCCCAGGGTCTCCAGCCCAGACGCTCGCTGCCCTCATTCCCTTGGCAGACATAGGCTCGATCATCCTGACAGCGTCTGTGCCCCCAAAGTGCTAGAGTAATGATACTGGCAATCTGGATATGCCAAAGAGAAGCCGAAAAGTATTTTCTTTAAGTGAACATTCTCAATAAAAAAAAAAAAAGGAAATGTTTGCTGAGGTTGCTAAGACCTGTGGTAAGAACAAATCTATTAAATTGTAAAGAAGGAAAAAGAAATTCATGCTTGTTTTGCTGCTGCACCTCAAACTGCAAATGTTACTGCCACACTGTGGTTTGATAAGTTCAAATGGAAAAGGCATTCAATTTGTGGGGTGAAGACGTAAATCAAAAATATGTTTGACTGAGGGCAATGTGCTGGCCAGAAAGCTCTGAGCCTGTGGAGAGATTTCAGCAGGGATTCCCTGAAACAAATGACAGCAAGCCATTTACCGCACATCAGGACGGTTGCACAGGTTCAGGAGCACCTCTGAACGGAGGGACATAGAGATTGTGTTTGAAGAGAGCCTGTCTGCCGCTGAGGAAGGTGCTGCCACATTTCCCGCGGAGCTGAAGCAGCTGACTAGGGCTTGGCACTGCCCGCTGGAGGTCTTGGAACATCTCTTCCACAGACAAGTGGAGACTATTATATTATAATGCTATGTTACTTTAGCTAGGAAAGTTACCTGCGTACAAAAGTGAGGTTAGGCCAATGTAAACATTCATAACAGATCTCTGCCATCCGCAAAAGAGAGGGGGGGAGGGGTGGGAGAGGAAGGGCTCCTCGGAGGGGGGAAAAGGGAGAAGGAGAGAGAGAATATATAGAGTAGGCAATTTTTTAAAAGTCAGGACCAACTAAGGTAGTTATAAATGGATCACATTAAAAAACATATTAGAATGAGTTTCAAGCCAAGGTCACCAAAACAATTTTTATTTCCAGTGTTTAATTGGGTATGCACACAGGCATGACACAGTTGGGATCATTAAGTCCTCATGCAGAATTATATTCTTCTCAGTAAAGAAGCCAGTTCCATCCAGGCGACTATCTACACACCTATGTTACAACATTTATATCAAATCTGGTATCTGAAGAAAAGATACACATATAATATGATCATTTAAGTTATGTATTTTACAGAAAGATTAAAAATTCAAGTCACACAAAACTCAAAAACTGTATTAAAATTTGAATATAAAACTGAGATCCACCTGGAATGACTAAAGAATGGAAGTTCTGTATCCAACTGTGTTAAAACTGGTAAATGTAATGAAATTTGTTACCCTTAAAACGCACTCATTAGTTCCACGTAAGTCATCTAGTTTTAACAATATGGCACCCTAAAGACCAAATGGATTTTTATGATGAGGCACTTTTGTTAGTGATGAAACCAAAAGAACAAACCTGCTGCACACTGATGCCAGCTGTTTTCTTCAGTCATCTTGGGTTTACACTATGTAGTAAGTTGCAACAAATACTTTACTCATTTGTATACAACTATCCAATATATCTTTAAATATACATATATATACACATATATACATATATACATATACACACATATATGTATATATACATATATGTGTGTGTATATGTGTATATATGTATATATATGTGTTCTTCTGGCTGTAGTGATGCACTGTAAAGCTATTTCACAGTGCAAAATGATAAAACCAGCCCGAATGAGGGCTGCATAATAACAACTCTGGTACGAGAAAAGTATGTACAAAGTTACTGGAACATGTAACAGTAGCTTTTTATTTGCTATCGTGAACATACCCCAGTTTCAAAGACAGGGATGGAGCTGTGCTTTATTGCCTGGGGACTCGGACAGTTTGTGAGGTTGGGCATTCCCTGCAGCACTAGCATTCTGGCTCATGTTCTGGAAGCTCCCTCCGTTTACTTGGTCAGGCGGCTGTGGTGGGAGGGAAAGGAGGGGCCTTGGGGTGGGAGCCAGGGGACTGGGAGGAGCGCGGGCATCGGGCTGGGAAGACACAGGCGTGTCCGCCGCGGGGGCTTCTGCGCCTGCGCCCTCGGGCCCCGCGCCCCCCGCGGCCCCGCTCAGGTCGGAGGCGCTGGCGCGCAGGCGCTCCCGGGCCAGCCAGGCGGCGATGGACGGGTCCTGGGCCGGGCACCGGGGCTTCAGCCGCGTCACGGCCGAGAGCTCGGGCTCCCCGCTCGGCTCCGGCACTCGCCAGAAATTCAAGATGCTGATCTCAGAGGCGTCCCGGTGGCCCCCGAGCGTGTGCCGGCGCCGGATGTTCTTCCTCTTGGCGGGCTCGGCGCCCAGCTTCTGGCTGCCCACCCCGAACATGTCGTCGGCCGGGGCCCTGGGCCTCAGCTTTAGCCGGTCGGCGATCTTGGTCTTCCAGGTGGGCTCCTGCCTCTCCGGCTCGCTCCGGGCCGGCGCCAGCAGGCTCCCGGTGGACTTTCCCTTCTTCATGACGTCGAACACTTTGGTGATGGAGGGCGCTTCGCGCTCAGCCCTGGCATCGCCCGGGGAGCCGCCGCCGCCGTCGGGCCGGGCGCGCGCGGACTTCCTGCGGGACAGCGTGTCGCACTCGATGAGCCTGTGGGAGCAGAAGGGCGGCCGCCGGCCGTCCAGGCTGGGCGTGAGGCTGCCCTCCGCGCCGCTCAGCTCGCTGCCCTCGGAGCCCCGGCGGCCGGCGCGCGCCTCGGGCGGCCTGCCTCCCCGGGGCGGCCGCGCGGCCGGGAAGACCGGGAAGTCGCTCTCGCTGTCCGTCTCCACCGGCCGGCCCTCGCTGATGAGCTCGCTGCGCTCGTCGTCCGCCTCGTCCCCCCGGCTCTCCGCCACGGAGCGCAGGTCGGGGCTGAGGCGGCTGCCGTCCGGGCCGGTCAGGCAGGTGGCCGCCGACGACGTGGTGGAGTAATCGGAGGTGATGGTGCCGGCGTGGGCCAGGAACTCGGGGTACCGGGGGTCCGGGCTGGTGGACTTCTTGGTGGAGAGCCTGGCCAGGGACGCCTGGGAGGACGTGCTGAGCAGGGTGCCCGAGTCCGAGCCCGTCTCGTCCCCCGGGGGGGCCTTCGGCGCCCCCTTCTCCTTCAGGACAGCGAAGCGGCAGCTCAGGGTGGGCGACTTGCTGCGCCGGGAGGCGTGCGGGGGCGAGGGCTCCCCGGAGGGGGCGCTCTCCTTGTGCAGGGGCGCCTTGTCGTCTTTGGCGGCGCCGCTGTCTTTCTTGGCGTTATTTTCTTTGCAACTGGCGAGCCGCTGTTTTCTGCCCGAGGACGTCTCGTTCTCTCTTTTGGATTCTGTTTTGGTATCGTTCTGACACTGCTCTGCGTTTTCTTTCTTAAAAAACACATTGTCCAGTTCGTCTTCTGAGCTGCTAGGCTGGGCCTTTTCTTTTGGCTTCTTCCTCTTGCGGCTAGCAGCGGCGAAGATGGAGGACACCAGCAGCTCCCTGCTATACTGATCCTTTCCGGATCCCCAAGAACCCTGGGAGCGATCAGAAAAGAGGCTTTGAGCATAAGAACAGGATCGAGTTCATTTTCTGAAAGAGCTTTACTCCAAATATTCCTTACTGAATCACCCTCGCCTGGGGCTCTAGAAGCACTAATGAAATGCAATTCATACCTATATTTTATTAATATAAATATTCAAAGGCTTAAAGACCCAGTTAAGAACTGTCAGCACTCTACTCCTCTTACTTAGTTTTAACAAAACATCATCTATCTTGAAACTTACCTGCACTGACATCAAAATTCCTAAGTAACAGTAAAAAAACAAAAACAAAAAACCCCCGACTAAATACTGATACAATTTTAGCTTCCTGTTGTGAAATTGTAATTTGTTGCTCTCAGAGAACAACTGTCCTTAGAAATAAGATATGCTTTTCTGAAAATACATTAAGGATCTTAAGGTGCTTCACTAGCTTGATTTTATATCACTTCCATTAAAAGTGATTTTGGTAGATAAAGTGGCCAAATGCAATAGTCCATACTTTGTTTAGAGGAGTCATTTTTCAAATGCTTGGAAGATGTATGCGGTTACTAAACAATGTTTACTGAATACAAGGGGAATAAAGTACTGCCCTCTTTTTAAAAAATGTACTTCACTTTTTGTACTTCCTTTTAAGATACATTTTTAACATACATTTTACTTTTTATCTACTCAGTCCCATTTCTTGCCTGGCGGTATTTATTGCCAAGTCATACAGGTATTATTTAACTGCCAAGTCACAGCTCAGGGACATCTCTCTCGGAAAGAAGTGCTTTGTGCTCCGTGTTAATTTCCCTGTGCCTGCCGACTGCCCTGCAGAGACTGCCCTGCTTCTGCGGTGCTCACACTCTCCAGGTGCTTTCAGGTGTAAGAGTTAAAGTTCCAACATAGTTGATATTCTGAAACAGGTTACTAAAGCCTTATGACTGACTTCAATTTTCTCATTATAGAGAGCACAGTGTACAGATACTGTATCCAATCATTAAGATAAGGAAACTCGCTGGACTTCAGGAACTTGTCCTAGGTAAATAGACTGGTGATGTCTTCATTTATCTCAAGATAATAACAAAATCAGAAAATTCAAAACAATATACAGTCAATGAAACCTTATCACAGAAACACCCCAGTGCACTGTTATTGGTAAAGCCGTGGTGCCAACTACTGGCTTTGTTGGTTGTGCATAACTGGTTCCTGAGAACAATTAATTAATTTGCTAATAATGCCCATAGGCTAAATCAACGGTGGTGGAAGGGGTCAATAAACATTATTTGTTTACCACACACCGTTATCTGTCCTTCTTTGAAACTTTATTTTTAAAAATCGTTATTTTGTAAGTAGTGCATATGTCCCCTTTCTTCCTCCACTGACCCCCTGCCCAGGCCCTCAACCCCATGGGTTATGCATGTATGCACACAGCTCTTTGGTGATCTCTTCCCACCCACCCACCCCCGCCTTCCCTCTGAGACACCACACACCATTTGACGCAAGCAGGCAGGCAGGAAGCATGCTGACTCACAGAAAGTGAATTTCTCTGCTGTCATAAAAAACTTAGACAAGCAAAAACTATTATACTGAAGTCTTTGAAAAATAAATTAAAAGTTTAGGCTGCCATATTAAAAAGAATTCTCTGAAATGAAATCATAGATGAACAGAACTTTGTTTTTGACTAGTTGTGAGTGTTATAATTATCCTACACTTTTCTAATGGTCACTCACATTCTAACATACTCTGCTAACGATCACAGGGATCGATAGTGGTTTGAAGAAGACCCGACTTTCCTTCCAGGAGCTTATCTGGCACTAAGCAAGTGATTGACTTTTAAACATCACAATTTCATTGAAATTAGATGTGTTTTCTTGAAGACTTACTAGGATTCCCTTTTAAATTCTATGTTCTGTGATCACATATGTGTTGGGGAAATGAATATTTTACAATAAAAAAACTGATATAGCTGAAACCGGTTTGGCTCAGTGGATAGAACGTCGGCCTGCGGACTGAGGGGTCCCAGGTTCGATTCTGGTCAAGGGCATGTGCCTTGGTTGCAGTCACTTCCCCAGTAGGGGGTGTGCAACAGGCAGCTGATGGATGAGTCTCTCTCATTGATGTTTCTAACTCTCTATCCCTCTCTCTTCCTCTCTGTAAGAAATCAATAAAATATATTAAAAAAAAACAAAAACTATTACAAAGAGTTACACCATTTGGCATGAATATAAGCCTAGCCAGTGGCCATGGACAACAGGGGGTGGGGGCATATGTAGAGAGGGGTTTGGGATGGGATTGGGGGGATGAGGACAATTATGTGATACTATAATCAATAAATTAAAAAAAAAAGAGTTACACCATTTGGATATCCATTATTTTGCAAGCATGGTATAAATAGCATCATGATTAAAATCAAGAGACAGCTATCACAACATGTTAAGCAATATGCATTTAATAAAGGGAATTTCAAAGAGGTTTGAAATCTAAAATCTTATATTCCAGAGGGGGTGAAAAAAGATGGGAAACTGTTCTGCAGAAGTCTAAAGAGACATGTCAACTAAATGCAAGGAGTTATTCTTGACTGCATTCTGTATAAAAAAATAAAGGACATTTTTGGACAACTGGGAAAATATTTAGGAGTAAGCTGTTAGCTAGTCTATTAAGTAACTCTCAAATAATTCCGGGGGAAATTACATATCATGTATTTACCAACCAATGAAACTAGAATAAAAGGTTTGAATGCTAACCATTATTCTAGTAACTTGTCTGTAGGTTTAAAATGATCCAAAATTAAAAAAATGGTGAAAATAGCCAAAACCAGTTTGGCTCAGTGTATAGAGCATCAGCCTGCGGAATGAAAGGTCCCGGGTTCGATTCCAGTCAAGGGCATGTACGTTGGTTACGGGCACATCCCCAGTAGGGGGTGTGCAAGAGGCAGCTGATCGGTAATTTCTCTCATCGATGTTTTTAACACTCTATCCCTCTCTCTTCCTCTCTGTAAAAAAAATCAATAAAATATATTTTAAAAAGTGGTGAAAATAACAATATAAGTGACAGTGAATAATCTGATTTGGTTAAAATAATTTTGTAATATTTTCTTCAAAAATTGTAATTAATGGTATACAATCCCATTATGATATTTACACATAAGTAAAATTTATATCTCATGTCCAAATAGAAAAATGTTTTTAAAAATTTATTGATACTTCTGGTTGCTATTGCCTCAACAAAACAAGGTTTTATTTAAGTTAAATTAACAAAATACTTTCTGAAAACTATAAAAACTACTAAAAAATTGTGTAATTTGATGGTGTCAATACAACACAAATTATGTTAAAAATGGTCATAAAAAATTAGTGATTTTGCTGAAATAAAAATATTTTCTATAAAAAAATAAATTAAAAAGTCTATATTACTACTGAAATATTTACACATATAAGAATATGGTGTTCAAGATCTGCCTTAAAATAGTCCCAGGAGGAGACAAGTGCATGGTGTGCAGAAGAAATAAAGTTAAGTCATGAGTCAATTGTCGAGAATGGATAATGGGGGTTGGAGACTCATTGTACTATTCCCTCTACTTTTGTATGTTAGAAATTTTTCACCTTAAAGAATAAGGAAATAGTGCTGGTCGGTTTGGCTCAGTGAGTAGAGCATCGGCCTGCAGACCTAAGGGTCGTGGGTTCGATTCCAGTCAAGGGCATGTTGCTTGGTTGCAGGCTCCTCCCTGGCCCAGGCCCTGGTCAAGGTATGTGCAGGAGGCAACCAATTGTGTTTCTTTCATATTGATATTCCTCTCTGTCTTTCCCTCTCTCTAAAAATCAATGCAAAAGTATCTTCAGGTGATAAGGATTAAAAAGAAAAAAAAAGGAGTAAGAAACTAAAGCCTACTTCTTTGTATTATGCTAAAATATGCTGAAACTGGATATTCCCACTCATAATCCAGTATACTTCTATCATATTCTATTCCAAGAAATTAATTTTTCCCTTTATGAGACCTTGTTGTTCTGTGTCATTTGATTCAGACAGGGATGCATTTGTATACTAATCATAACAATCAGCCAACCTCCCCCCTTTAAAATATTTCACAATTGTATGAAATACTTTACCTTAGATTTTGTTGAGTCACTAGTAGCTGAATCTGTCAGAAGTTAAATGAAACATGGTCAATATTAGTCCATCTTTACCCCTTTCAACAAACAATGCAAACTATGGAAAAGACAGGCACAGAACAAAATGGGAAAGCAGAACTCAAACAGAACCATTGAACACAGTGGATAGTCAGAGCTCACAAAGATGCAAGCTGCACCACAGAAAGCCACCGCCATGGAAGGATGCTGTGAATTGTAGGCAGAATCAGCTCAATGATAGGAATGGCAAAGGAGCCCTGTGCTAAACGAGAACAGAAGTACTAGTGTCTATTCAATCTTCTAAATAGTAAGTCTAGTGATAAAGAAGCTGGAAGACCTTTTAAGAATTGCTATGTGCCACATCCTGTATCTGAAACTGATACACAATGTAGAACGTTTAAGATTCTTAGCTGCCCTAGCTACAAATTGAGAAATCATACTCGGTGTAGTTAATGTTGATTTTTGTCAGACTTAAATTTTATAAGTGCATACTCTATGCATATGGATGCAAAAGAGGCATCAGGATAACCCTGCTTCAGGTTACTTTGATTTTATATTAAATCATGCTGATCTTTGTGCTTTAGACCCCAGTTTCATATCTGTGCAGTCAGGGATCCTTTTGACTAATTTGTTTAAATTGCTACCAGTTTTGTAATTATCTATTAACAAATGCTAATATGGAAATGAAAGAATGGAGACCATAATTTTACTGTCTGGCAAAAACTAAGATTATACGATAATAAAGAGGGTAGGAAGGGGCTAGCACTATTCTGGAAAACACCAATTTTGAAGTTTTACGTTTTGACTTTAGGGAAACTAATTTCCAAAATGAATGAGCTGAGCCCCGTGCCACACCCCTTTTAACACATGGCTAAATGCTTTATGACTTTAAGAACTGGTAGACCATACCATGCTATTTCTCCTCACGGTCTGCTTCAGAAATAACAAGAAACAGCAGAAAAACTTTTAAGAAAGTAGTATTGATCTGTTTACAAGAATCTTAAGAGAAAATGTACACCACAGATCAACGATGTTTGCATTTACAAGAACCGGGGGTTTCTGCAGACAAGGCAGCTACAGTGTGGACAGCAATCCTCCTTCTTCCTACAGTTCCAGCTGTCCATCAGGGACACCACAGAATCCACTAGCGACATTACCGTGTGATAGACTCCTCCCACTTCGCCTGTTCAACATCAGTATAGATTTGCCTGTGTCAGTAAGTGCTGAAAAAACCCTTTAGGACTAGAACAAGAACTAGAGACAAAGGGAGAACATTGTGTAAAACAGCATGCTCGGTTAGTGCAACAGTTTGGCAGGAGAAAATATTCATCAAAAGAGCCTACAAGAACTAATACTTAACCAAACATTCGAGTGGCAAGAGAAAAGAGAAAATGTCATAGATTGGCTTTTACGGTGACATCTACAGTGACAAATACTATACTGTATTTCTGAAAATGGTATCCATTAGCAGTTCAATTTATTTTACTTGCTTCTTTTAAACAGAACGTCTGGCTCAAGGTTAAGAGCTACTTATGCAGCTTAGATCATACTGTCTGCCATCACAGCAACCACATACTCAGTAGCATGTATCTGTTTTACCTTGTGATGACTATTACATGGAAACTGTGAATTAAAAAAAAACAAAAACAAAACAGTGGTTCGCATGCTCATTTCCCTCATATTTCCATTCTGACAAGCATTACAACTCCATGCACTGCCAATTAGAGTCACTGGAAGATAATTAAGATCAATCAGAAAAGTGAGATTAAGTTTCTTATTAGAAAGGAAAAAGGAGAAAAGGGAAAAAAATCACAGTGAATTGTTACTTATGATTGAGTTGTCTTTCATGTTATAAGGTACATAAAATATAACCTAGAGATCCATACTGCCCAGGCAAGAGTTACCTGATACATCTCCAGGGGACACGCCTGTCCTTCCAATGTTGGTGAGTAAGTGATCTATGTTTGGCACTGGCTGAGAGTCCACTGTGTTTTCCTCCTGCACTGTTGTCTACGGTTAATAAACAAAGACTACTTCATCATCTCTTCAGAGATACTTTCTTTAAAATTCAAGCAGCATTTAATAAAAGACACATTATTGAGTGGAGCACATGAGCATAATGTTTTACCTTCTTTAGATATAATTAGCTATAAAACGACCATTGTACTTGTATTTTCTTTAGCTTAGACTCTGAGGAGCTAGAGACTTGCTTCCAGTGTGGAAAGCAGGCAAAAGCGTACAGGCGGGAGGCTGGCATTGCTGTAGCACCAGGGTCTCGCGTCCCAAAGGAAAACAACAGGGGACAAGCGCTGAGGGACATACTTACAAGAGGTTCTTCAGCACCTTCTTCTGTGAAAAACCAGTCATGCTAAAATTTAAAATAAAAAAGGTGAAAAGATAAATCAAATAACCCTCTAAATATATCTATAGTTTGGAGGAAGGTATACAGAAAAAAAGTAATTTTCTTAAAAATTATATTTAACCAAATTTTGTTCCACCGGCAGCTTGCAGAAAAAGAATGAATGCTCTTGATGAGGCGAAGCCCGACTTACGTGCTGGATAAGCGTCTCCACGATCTTGTACTGGTCCGGCATGTGGGTGACCATGTGCGTCATGTTATCTTCGGATGTTCTCACCAGAGTTGGGCCAAAAACTATTGCTAGGTTTCTTGGTTCCATCTGAAATAAAGGACAATATTGGAAAATACCATATTTTTTCTTAATAGGGTTTAAAGTCCCATTGCATATTTGGCATTTTATTTCTGACAGGTTCTTTTGGTGAAAAAGAATTCAAAGAATGAATGATTGATTGATATGTACAAAAAAATACAGGGAGGCAGGGACTGGGCGGAGATGGGAAAAGGGGCAGGATTGAGGGATATCTGCAATAGTGTCAACAATAAAAAATTTATATTAAAAACAAATGCTTCCTAGTCAGAATTTCCCATAAGCTAATGTCTATATAACTTCTTTTCCCTGCTTTCATGATAATGTAAAACATTTAATTGGCATTCCTTTCTTCCAAGATGTCTTTGATAGAAAGCAATTGATTGGTTCTAAACTAGTATTTCTAGAGCTAGATTAACTGACAAAAATGCTAATATAGAAGAGAAAAAACTCAGAAAAGACCATGGAAACACCCCTTCCTCAAAATACATGGTTCTCATTTCCCCATAAGGTGTAGTCATCTCATCCTTCAATCAAAAAACATTAAGTCCAACATGATTCATGATACTAGATTCTTATCTATGATTTAATTAAGTTTCTAGGCTAATGATAACATGCATTATTATTTACATATACAGTTTTAGTTGATTTTCATATAAAACTAATAACATAAGTAGTTCACAGATTATTTATTCATTAATTACTTAAATTATGTATTTTTTTGAAAGATGTTCCACAATGTGTAGTCAAATAAGTCTAGGGAATGAAATGCCTTATATCCTTATTCAAGACTCACAGAGTTAATTAATATATTAAAGACCTTAAAAATTCTGCAGTAAAAAAAAATCAGTTAAATTTTGTTTAATTCATGCTTCACAAACTAATTAGACCAATAACTCCTACTAACATCCAGCAAAACTGACAAATGACATACTACTATACTTTGGAAAATGCTGAAAGAATTAGGAAATATTTCAACTTTAATTATATTGAGAACTTTTTGGCTCCTACTGTATGCAGTTCTGGAAGTAGTACAATCAATTAATATAGGTGCTCTTCCCCCCCCCCTCCCCCTTTCCCCTCCCTTTTCCATGGCTGTATCACTTGAGGAAGCTGAATGTCTAAAGGAAATTATAGCACTGTAATCTTATCAATTTATAGGTGATAGGGTTGACACTGTTCTCATAATCCGACCTTATTACAACTTGGGAACAACTGTCTTCCAGGGTATCAGAGCATTGTCTTCTACATTAGCAGGTATTGCCCGTAGAAAGAGGGGTGACAGCAGTATTCCTAAACTTGCTGTATTCTGGCGATTTTTCTTCTCCAGAAACCAAATGGCTGTTTAGGTATTTTAAGCAGTAATGCCTGAGAATCATCATTTGCCTTCTCTGATGATATACTGGATTGAGGCAAGTGATGAGAATGATGAAAAGTTAAGACAATAATGTATCAAACACAATGCGTGGACCTTGTTTGGATGATGATTTAAAGAAATGTCTTTACAGTTGTTTGTTTAAATCAATATTCAAACAAGGTCCACATATCAATCAGGAAAAACTAAACATGGATTGAGTATTAGAAAAAAGTAAGAAATTACAAATATAGATGTGTTTAATAAAGGTAATGGGATAGTGTTAAAAATAACCTGTTTAAAACTAAACAAAACGTCTATTATTTTTCACTGTACACAATTTGATACATCGACTGTTATATCATACAAATGTTGCCATTTCAAAATATTGATATATAGTTGGAAAATAAAAGAGGTCAAATTTCTGGCTTTTTCATTTTTCTTGCTGGATAAATGAAACAAATGTCTTATAATAAAAAATGGTGACAACTGTTATTTTTGGGTCTTTTGCTTTTCAGAGTGATCTTTAGAGGGACTGATTAGCGAATATGATGCATTTCAGAGCTTTTGTTGAATTATAACCCTATTTTTTTATTACTTGACACGAAGCAATAAAGACTATCTTTTCATCTAAAGCCACTGGTGGTACATACCTTATTTTTTTCTGAATTTTCTGCCACTGTCTTCAGATGAGCCGAAAGAAACTTAAGTGTTTCATAATGATGTTCTGGCAAATCGTGAATCTGAAACATATTATTTTCAGGATGGATTGAGATGCTGAATTTTAGGTATACCCCCAGAAATAGAAAAATGATACTTACTAGTCTTTTTAATGTTTTCAGACGATCTAGAGGATCTTCTTTCCGGTTAGCTTCAATAAAGTCGGCATATTTATCTGACAACAATAACAATAAGGCAAGTTTATCTTAAATTGCTTAGGTGAGTTGCATATAATCTAAATAGCCTTTGAGATGTAAGTTACTAATACTGCCATAGTTTTTAATGATCCTCAAACCCTTATCTTCAAATCAAAGGAAATTCTCTAAGATGTGAGTTCTCTGCGGTATTCCTGCATTTATACACTCTGTATATTCTCTCTCCCTGAACACAAACATCTAGTACAGTGTCTTATGTAAGTCAAATATTTGGCTTGACTGAAAAAAACGTTTTTCTACTTATTGTATCTTATTAGGTCTGAAGACTTTTGACTGAAAACAATAATTCTCTTTTTAACTACAAATATGGTTGAGCAAGATAATATATATTTTACTGAGTGTAAAGAACTTTTGAAACTCTGTGTTTATTAATGTTTATCAGGATAAAAAAATCTACATGACAAAAAAACAGTACAAAATCATGCCTTGTATATCTAAATAAAAACTAAAGAAGATCTTTTATTTTCTTTGACAAATGTATTTTCTCCTGCTTCAATCTCATATTGTATGGTTTTCCAACAATGTAACATTTGACTGTTTCATCCGGTTTCTTTTGTGGGCGTTCACTCACCATTTGTGAAGAGAGGTTCAGGGAGTTTTCTGAAGAAGGATTTTAGTAAACTGCTTATCACATTCAAATCTCGCCATTTCTAGGTATGAAGAAATAAAAATCCAGTAGTTTTTTAGTCAATACCACCAAAGAAAAACCTCGGATCAGTTACCCATAAAGAAACAGACAACTTACATCATCTTGTATATCAATATCAGCCATTCCCTTGTTGAGTTCTTCTTGCATGCTTGAGATGGCTGCATTATTTCCAGGAACTCTGTAAATACCTGTATATTCAAGACCTCTTTCTTCAACTAATTTGCAACATATGTCAACTATTAATGGAATATACTGCAAAACAAGAAATAATTATTTTATTTAATATAGTACCAATGTTTATATGTAGTTAGATGTATACCATAGGTAAAAGGCCCTTGTATACCATCCAAAAGAAAATATATAAATTACTGCTTTTTGATAGAGAAAATAAAGAATATAGACACTGCAGAATTGGGAAATGATAAAACAAGCAAGAGATATTTGAGTCAGTGGGAAGAGAAACTAGGTTAAGACAGAAAGGGAAGGGTTCACAAGGAGAGAGTAGTCTAAACAGAAAACAAAAACATGTAAGGAGAATGTGGGAACAGCTCAGCTGAATAAATAGGAATAAAGTAAAAAAAAAAAAAAAGCAAGGATGGAGGGAATAACATCAATCAATTCATGATATGGACACACACACACACACACACACACAAAATTACATTTATTATACTTTCTTAATCAGGTCCTTGTTCTCACCCTTCTTTTATGATGCTAGAAGCAGAAACACATGATTTGAAAATAAATTCTTACTGACCATTTCAGGTATATTCCTAATAGCTGAATAATTATTCTATTTCAGAATCAGTAATGAGAAAAAAAGCACTACTGATAAAATTAATCAACACATCCTTACAGATCAGAAATGCTCGAGGAAACTAAGGTCAGCTATGAAGAGGAAAACACCCAATAAATCAACAGGTTCTCTGTCATCTGAATGGCCACGTACACAAGTCCCACAAGTGAATTACAGCGTTAGATAACCCAGCTGGCTGGAGTCTCCTACCCGATTGGTGTGAGCTGGTGGGCAATCATCCAATCTGACCCCGAACGTCCCGGTGGCAGTAGGCTTTTTTTCGAAAGTCTTTCTCATGATGCTCGGGATGCCTTTTCTCCATGTGCCTTTGTCTTTTGGGGGACTGGTTTCATCTTTTGATTGTTATTCAAAATAAAACAATATAAGAAAAACATGAAAATGTAAGTGTTTAAATCATGACTTAAAAAATCCTTTATTGATATTTTTATAAATCTGAGTCCTATACTATATGTATCCTATTATCATCTCTAATATAGCACTCCTTTTAACCTTCCATATAATTTAGGGACTATCAAATACATTTTTTAAAATCTTTTTTTAAGTCTGTATCATGATTTTCTTTAAAACAGTCAAGAAAATAGAACCAATGTGACAACTTCATAGTGAGAGTTTTGGAAGAAGGACACATAATTTATCTCAAAATGACAGCGCCTGATCCTCTGCATTAATCACAGTTGCTGTCCTTCAGTTTGTATTTGAGAACTGGCACCTTAAGGGAAAGCCCCACTGGCTTAGGTCCAGCCCACAGTGGTCTTGAGCGAGCTCACACTGGGCTGAGGTCAGCAAAAATGGTACAGAGAAATATGAAAATACCATTAAAATCCCAATTTTAAATCATTTTATTAAGTTCATCTGGTAATGCCAACATCAGTACCTTTACTGAGCAGTCTCCTCTCTGACTCCTCCTTTGGGGAATGTGGACTTTGCGTCTTTGGCTCGGATTTAGCACCAAGCAAGGTCTGCCTGATGCTGAGACTCTGGCGAGGTGTTTTTGGCAACTGTTCCGCTTTGCTGCTGAAAGAACACATTTTTCTTAATAATTACGTATTTTATATCCAAATTAACTTACGTGCATGGTGGAACACTCACCTCATCAGACTGTTATATTCTTTTATTCTTCGGCTAATTAGATCCCTGTTAGTAACACCAGTGTCCTGCAGAATAAAGAGAGGCATAATTTGAGTCAATTCTGAACAAAATTAGGAATCCCTACCTTTTTTGAGCTTCTCTATTGTCCTACTCTGCTTACTCAATAAAGACACTCTCCTTGACTCTCAGTGGTGGTGTGGCGAAATCCCTTCTCAGCATCGCCCCACAGCCACTGTGTGACCACGCTCCAAGTGCTCCCTCACTGTGAGTCCTTCCTGTTTACTTTCTGTACTGCAGCAACACTCGGACTACTACCAGCGAATAGCACGTTGGTTCAAACTTAATGATCTGTCATTTTAAATTAATGACTGGGAAACAGAAAGCCAGTTTTTTTCTCTTACTAATACCAGAAAGATCAGCATTTCCAAATAATAAAGTTGGATAAAAGATGAAAAAATACTGCCAGAATTTGTTAATAATTAACTTGCAGGCAGAAACCGGTTTGGCTCAGTGGATAGAGCATCAGCCTGTGGACTGAAAGGTCCTGGGTTCTATTCCGGTAGGAGGCATGTATCTTGGTTGCGGGCACATCCCCAGTGGGGGGTGTGCAAGAGGCAGCTGATCAATGATTCTCTCTCATCGATGTTTCTCTCTGTCCCTCTCTCTTCCTCTCTGTAAAAAATCAATAAAATATATTTTTTTAAAAAATTAACTTGCAGGAATAGCGAGATTGAGGGTCAATTAGTGTCCAAAGTGACAGAAGAGGAAATCTCAAAGCAGGTGTTTTTTTGTTTTGTTTGTTTGTTTGTTTTTTAACCTTAAAACAGGTGTGTGTGCGTGTGTGTGTGTTTTTTTAAATATATTTTATTAATTTTTTACAGAGAGGAAGGGAGAGAGATAGAGAGCTAGAAACGTCGATGAGAGAATAACATCGACCAGCTGCCTCTTGCACCCCCCCCCCACCCCCCCGGATGTGCCCGCAACCAAGGTACATGCCCTTGACTGGAATCGAACCCGCAGACCCACGCTGTACCACTGAGCCAAACCGGTTTCGGCAGGTGTGTGTTTTTTAAACTTTTAATATGCTAATGGAAAACTTAGAGCTGGGCACAAAGTGATGATTCTTTTCTATTGATTCCAATTATACATTGGTATGTGTCCTCAAAAAAAAAAAAAGTTTTCGCTGTCTCATTTAACAATATAATTTACAAAAAATACAGGCTTTGGAGTCAAACAACCTTGAATTCAAAACAACTCTTCACACTTCCCAGCAGAGAGATCCAGGGAAGAATGCCTGGTTTAAATCAGGGCCCTGATGCTTATCAGCTATGCGACCTTGAGGAAATCACTTAACCCCTCTTTGGCACATGGCTTCCTTGTTTGTGAAATGGTGAGGATGATAATAAAAGGACAATTCATATGGTTGCTGAGGTTAATTCATGTAAAATGCTTAGAAGAGTGCCTGCCATATGCTGTGAATTATTACTTTCTTATCTATAAAACAGGAAAAATGCCTGTGTGTTACCATTAGGTGATAATGATGATGATAATGGCTGACACTAAGTAAATGCTTATTATCTGCCAGGCAGCAGGCGGGTTTTCTTCACAAACACTATCTCATTAAATCCTTTCCGAAAGCCCTCCGTGTTGCACAGAGGAAGTCATATGAAGGACTGTAGCAAGGACCCTCTACTGCCTTGTAGAATGCCCTGCACACAGCTGGTGCTTCTTCAACAGGAACTTCCTGAACTGTCAGGAAAAGCTGAAATCTACATCCAAGTTCTTATTCTCCCTGTTTCTGTGCAAAAATTTAGTCTGATGCTCTCTTTGTAGTGGTGGTTATGGAACAAAGATTGTACTGATACAATCTGGTGTCAGCTTTGAACCACAAACAAGGGAGGTTGTAAATTAGCAGAGAAATAAAGCACATACATTTTTCCTATAGCATACGTTTTCTACTTGGAATTGGAAATAATGGGAATGACTAAATTAAAAAAGATAAACTGCATAACCTTACAGTTAATGTCTGTGCTCCTGGGTACTTCAGAAAAAGGAAAAAGAATGGCATGCTTTTTAAAAGAATTTTGTCCTAACAATGGGCACAAAGTAAGAACAACATGTTAGAAAAACTGTGTCAATGAAGCTCAATAAAAGCGACACAATCATTACTTTAAAATTTATAGTTATATACACTTAAAATATCAAAATTCATGTTGCAAAAATATCTTGATTGTGAGCCAGAAACACTTTAAGTACTTAAACATTATTACTTATTAAAAAGAAAAACTGGCTTATAACATGATTTCTGATAATATGAGTTTTCTCTTTTTAATATGTTTTGTTGTTTGAGAGAGAAAGAGAGGGTCAGAGAGAGGAAGAGAGAAAGAAACATTGATGAGAGAGAACCTCTGATCAGTTGCCTCCTGCATCCCTACTAGGGATTAAGCCTGTAATCTGGGTATGTGCCATGACAGGGAATTGAACCATTGACCTTTTGGTGCATGGAACGATGCTCAACCAACTAAGCCATACCAACCAGGGCTCTAGTTTTCTTAAAAACCAATTACTGTATTACAATAAATTATATTATATTGTTGACTATATAATTCCATTAATAAAAATCATCATATCATTATCTCTTTGTGTTTACAGAGTAATTTGTTTTGATAAGCAATGTCACTATAACTTGAACCACTCAACAATTCTGTTTAGTGATGAGAAGACAGATCTGGAAGTAGTCAGTCATATAAGGTTATGACCAGGACTAGGAACCAAGCATAGTTCATTACTTCTAAGAATGTATGCAGAGTATATGAATCATCTATTTTTCTAGTTCAGTAATGATGGTTTTCCAATAAGTAAAAATAATATAAAATGAATTTTCCTTTTGATCAACTATTTTTAAGCATACTAACTAATAAATAGGAAATATGCTAATTGACCCTCATGCAAAGATGGTGAAATCCACTGCCAATAAGGAGGAGATATGCTAATTGACTGTCACACCCTCAAAGATGACGATGGTGGCTGCCCAGCTGCCCAGGGCCGCTCGAGGCTCAAGTAACCAGGGCTGACCAAGGCTTGCGTTGCCGGCAGTGGCAGCAGCAGAGGTGTGATGGGGCGTCACCTTCCCCTCATCACTGGGTCACCTCCTGCCCCTGAGGGCTCTGGACTGTGAGGGGGGGGCAGGCCTGGCTGAGGGACACCCGTTCCAGTGCATGAATTTTCATGTACTGGGTCTCTAATATTATCATATTTGTTTAAAATAATGTAGTAGATTCTTTTAGTCTTCTGGAAGAAAAAAGGAAATAAGAAAGATGTGAACAAATGTGTCCAATTTTACCATCACTGGTTTGCACACAGACCTCTTCATTTAGGTTGCTGCTCTCCTGGATGGTCTTGATCCAAGCTAACATATCGTCTCTGTCTTCTGCCTGAAAGAGGCATTCACAGTCTGATGTGGTAAGTCGGAACACATTCTTCCTCTTGGTCTCACTGTACGAGATGTCTATTAAACAAGCGTTCACACTGATGGGTTGTTCTTCTTCAGATGGAATCATCTGTTCTCTTTTATCTTTGTACAGGTAAAGTGAATGGCCCCGAAGTACAACATACATCTGCTTCCATGGCCGAATACTCCCACCAACTCGCTAGAAACATGAAACAGTTCAGGCATACTTAATATTTGGCTAAATCTCACACATTAAACAACACTGCTAACAAGTACAGATGTATAGCAAATGTAGAAGATGCCCGATTTATATCAATATATACTTGTTAGGAAATGAAGGATAAAAATTATAAAGTGTAAACCAAGTGAGGCAATGTATTCACAACAAAATCAAGGATAGTGAAATCTCAACTCTTACTTTGTTAGAAAAATAAAGTAACTAAGATAAAAACAGGTGTAGCAAAATATGTTAAACATGCTAAAGGAATAGAAAATAAAAAATAAATCAGCCAGGAAAATCTTCTGAGTGAGAGTTAGGCTTAAGACAAATCATCAATCATGAAAATGACAAACACTGCATAAGGAGAACCCAAACAGTAAATATAACAAATGAATTAACAAAACTGATCAACTTTATATGGTTGATCAATTTTGTTAATTCAAGTAACAATAGCTACATTTAAAGTGAGTTTTCTTAAAATTTTAAACTCTTATAATATTAAAATGTTTTATAACTAAACTGCCCAAATATTATAAGAAAATTTATGGCAAAATTTTTATTGTATTAACATCTATTTAAATGAAGTATATGTTGATAATGTGATAGTCATTTATATAACTCAATATTTATAGAATAAAGTGAAAGAAGGGAATTACAAAGGCATTTAAAATAATAAACTGGGAGAAGTTAAATGAAAATTTAAAAATTAAGCTGAAGAAGTGCCATTCTCTAAAGGACTATTCTGTGATAATAACTAATAAACTTCAATAATAAAATCAGTTTCTTACATACTTTGCTTTCTTTTTTACATTACCAAAATATGACAATATATTCCATACATAGTTGATACACAGAATGAAAAATAGGAAAATAGATGATGAGAACTTAAAAAAAAATTTCCTTCATATAGAAAAATATATTTATAAAATATGTTTTCCATTCTTTATTCTGAATATTTTGTCATTTTATGTATACAAATTTTATACTTTATTTTTCAGGGTAAAATAAAGTATAAAATGCGCTCACAGTAGCTCCAAAAATGCACTACCTTGCCCTTATCGGTGACAAGTGGCCTGTAATGGAGCCATCCCTCCTTCGCAGCATCACTGAAAACCTCTGAGGAAGAGTCTTTTCTGGATCCAGAGTCTTCTGATGACTTTTGGCTGTCTGACATCTATAGAAAAGGCCAAAAGAGAAACCGCAGTAAAATGTCAGCTTTTTCTTTTATAAATATTTGTGTGATAAAACTGCTTTAGTGAAAATATCTTTTATATAATGTTCCAAGTGAAGGGCTATTTTTGAAAAATCCTAACTTTATCAATTACATTATAAAAATTTCTGGTCTTGTTAAAAAAATGTACACTACTACCATCTTTTTTAAGACATCTGAAGGAATTTTTAGTCATCAAAGAATAATAAAAATGATATAATTTTCCTGCTCTCAAGAGGTCATGTTAGTACAAAAAGACAAAGAAGAATAAAAAATAAATTGAAAAAGATCACATGGTGATAAGTGCCATTTGGAGAATGAAAACAGTGGGGTGCAATTATGAATGACGGCAGCAGCTAAATATGGTGGTGCTCAGGCAAGTCCTCTCTGAAGAGAACATTTAAGTTTAAATCTGGGAGAAAAACAAATCTAAAAATGCCAACCAGGAAAGGTCAGGGAAAGAAGACTTCAGGAAGAATGGACAGCTAATGAATGTATGTATCAATATCATTTTAAATGTTCACTATTCATGTGAGTAAGAGAAATGGAAAATTATAGCTGGTTTAGAGTCTTTAGGCCTAGGTAGGAAGTGTGAAAGAGGCCATTAAAGACTGAATCAGGGGGTTCAATTATCTCATCAATGCAAGACACCTGCGTGCTACATGGAGCATGGATTCTAAAAGACAACCAGAACAAAGGAGCTATTGGAGGAATCCAGGTGAGGGGCAAGGGCATCCTCGACTAAAACAGCAGAAGTGAAGACAGAAAGGAATATAAAGAGTCAGGAGGTAGCGGGGACAGGTCTTGATATGGGAGATGGTGAGAACAAAGAAACAAGGCCACTAGATTTTTGGCTTGAACAACTGGGTGAATGGAAGTAGATTTAGTGAGATGGGGAAAACTTGGGGGTAAATATGTCTGGGGGTGATCAAGGCCTGTTTGGCATGTAAACCTTGTACTGCTTATTAAACATTAAATGAAGATATCATGTAGGCAGTAGTCTACGTGAGCTGCAGTTCAGGGAAGAGGTCCAGACTAGCAATGTACTTTTGAGACTTCTGTGTAAGATCATCAGGGAAATCAGGCTACCCAGAGAGGAAAGAGGGTCAGAACACTTTTAGACATGCCAACAATTGAAATCTTAGGCACAGAAACCAGCAGAAGAAAGAGTCTCAGAAAGGAGTGGAAAATTGTGTTGAATATTACTGGAAGGTCAAATAAATTAAAAATCTTAATAACTTTTAGTGGTTGTTTTTAATCCTCACCAGGTAATATGTTTTTATTGTTTTAGAGAGAGAGGAAGAGAAGGAGGGAGGGAGAAACCAATGTGAGAGAGAAACATCAATCAGCTTATTCCTAATCCTAATATATAAAAACCCTGGGTCATAACAATCAGTAACGACTGAGGCTTGACCAACTGGAAGTCAGTCTTGCAGTGAACTGCAAATAAGAGGCCGCGAATCAGGAACAGAGAAAGGCCTTCTGAGGAAAGCAGGGATTGACCTACTGCCTCTGAGGTAGCTTTTGATCAGCACTCGCCTCTCTCTCCCCCAGTCTGGGCAGCAGCTGTGCCTCCATTTCTCTCCAGCCTCCACCAGGGTTGCTGATCAACCCTGCCTTTCTGACCAGGCCCCATTGATAGGCCTAGAGAAGCCGACTGGCATAGGAACTGACCAATCAGAACCAAATGTGGGGGCTGTGAAGAACCAATGGCTGTCTAGGAAGTGGAGCTTCTGATGTTGATTGGCATAGACACCGACCAATCAGAACCAAATTTTGGTGCTGTGGGGAGGCAATGGCTACCTAGAATGCGGAGCTTCTGACACTGACTGGCATAGAAACTGACCAATCAGAACCAAACCTGGGTGCTGTGGTGAACCAATGGCTGCCTAGGAGATAGAGCTTTTGATGCTAACTGGCATAGAAACCGACCAATCCGAACCAAACTGGCCAGCAGAGGAGGACAGTTGAGCGTGAGATCAGGCCTGCAGGGGAGGGCAGTGAGGGGTGAGATCAGGCAAACAGGGGAGGGCAACTAGGCTGGCAGGGGAAGGAAGTTAGAGGCGATCAGATAGGCAGGCAGGTGAGCAGTTAGGAGCCAATGGTCCCAGACTGAGAGAAGGATGTCGACTGCCGGTTTATGGGCGATACCACAGGGATCGGGCCTAAACAGGCAGTCGGACATCTCCCAAGGAGTCCTCAATTGGAGAGGTGCAGGCTGAGCTAAGGGAGCTGCCCCCTCCGTGCACACATTTCATGCACCCGGCCTCTAGTTTATATATACACTGAGTGGACAGATTATTATGATCTCTGAAAGCATAGTAACCTGGCCACTCAGTGTATATCCTACATAATAAAAGGCTAATATGCAAATTGTCCCCTCAACCAGGAGTTCGACCAGCAGGCAGGCTGCCCAACCACCCATGTCCCCTCCCCCTGGCCAGGCTGGCCGGACCCCTCCCATGCACAAATTCATGCTCTGGACCTCTAACACACACATATACACACACACACACACACACACACACACACACACTGAGTGGCCGGATTATTATGTGTTCAGAGATCATAATAATCTGCCACTCAGTGTATATAAAGCCAGCGATTGGAACTCTGGAAGGACCAGAACAATTGGTCACTATGATGCCCACTGCAGCCAGAAACCTGCCCGATCAGGGGGTGGGGCCGGCTGGCCAACTTCCTTCCTGCGGCCCTTCCCCACAGCTGTCCCTACCCCTGATTGGCCTCTCTCACCTTAATTGAGGGAAGGGCATTTGGCCTACCCACGTTGGCACCTCCCTTCCCCCGCAACAGGCCCGGCCCCGATGGGCCCCCCCATCCGAATCAGCCCACAGCCCCTCCTCCCAGCTGGCCTCACCTCTGATTGCACCCCCACCCCAATAGGGGGCAGGGCCAGCCAGCCAACCTCCTGCAGCCCTCCCCCCAGATGGCCCTGCCCCTGATGGGCCCCCACCACTCTGATTAGCCTGAAGCCCCTCCCCCCAGCTAGCTCCACCCCAAATCGGCTCCTCCCCTCCAATCAGGGGCAGAGCCAGCTGGCCAACCTCCCATGGCACCCCCCACCCCCCCAGCAGCTGACCCCCAATCAGCCCCCCATCCCATTTGGGGGCAAGGCCAGCTGGCGCACCACCCACAGCCCCTCCACCCAGCCAGTGTGGCCGATTGGGCCCCTATTGGGGTGGGCCAGCCAGCCAACCTCCTGCCATCTCCTCCTTCCACCAGCTGGACCCCACCCATGCACGAATTCATGCAGTGGGCCTCTAGTATAAGAATAAACTGTTTCATCTACTCACAACTGTAAATCTACTTTTGCTACGTTTAGAAATTATATAATACGTTTAGAAATTAGAAAAGCATACTTTATGTATAATATTTTCCAAATGCATGCAAAACTTACAGAATAAAAGATTATGACATTTATGAAATGTATCTAATAGATAAAAGAAATCATTCTCTGTGAAGGGCTAAAGTAAACTATGGTAAATAAAACTTATCATTTGCTGATATTTTTAAAATATTCAATACTAACCTTGTTTCCCTTCAGGGTGGATATGTGCTTAAAAGACCTGTTGGAAAAGAAGTACATAAATATTTTCAATGGTGCATAAAATACCTTAAATATTCTTATGTTAAGAATAGTCTGAATATTGCAACTAATCTTTTATTAGTGAGCAGACATTTCATCATTTCTATATTAAATGTTCACTATTCAATCAAGTCAGAAAAACAGCTAACTTCAGAATTAATTTTTTTTAAACTATAACCAGACACTATTTTCTAAAAAATGTTTTTAATTGATTTCTAAAGAGAGAGGAAGGGAGAGGGATAGAGAAATAGGAACATCAATAAAAGAGGAATATCATTGATCAGCTGCCTCCTGCATACTTCTTACTGGGGATCAAGCCTGAAAGTAGGCACGTGCCCTTATTGGGAATAAAACCAGCTACCTCTTGGTTCCTAGGTTGGACACTCAACTGCTGAGCCACATCAGCTGGGCTATAATTAAACTTTGGATAGCAGCTTTCTTAGTTAATCTGATACATGAAAACTATTTTGGCATAAAGTATGAGATTTTCTTTTTTTAGACCAAAGAAAGCTATTCGGGCTAAACACTGGGTTTTCTATTATTAGTCAACCAGAGTTGCAACGCTCTATTGAGGATTTCCACAATGTTAATAATTGATTAGGTGTCGCCAACTGTCAGACACCGAGAGAGCAGCATGTCTATACTCATCCAGCTGTGACCACTCAGAACCGGCATGCAGCAGGAAGAGTGCTGTCAGGCTGGCTTGGCCCACCACTCTGCTCTGCCCTTCCAAGCACATTCTGGATGATTTCAATAAGAACAACTGGGGCTGCTAAAAAGGCTGAGATGAGTCAGTAAAAATTATGTAACTTTAGGGAACACAGTTGTTTTTTGTTATTTTTTAAATTCCAAATTCATTTAAGGAACTTAGCATGTTAAGGTGTGACTAAAGAGGACATTATCTTCTCCTCTCATACACCACCTCAAACAACAAGAAAACCATAAACAAATGTACAAACTCCATCTCTATCAGTATCAGGAGACAGCTATAACTCTAAACTACAATATATGAAGAGAGATGGTTAAATGCAATGAAGTAAAAATTAATACAAGAAGAGAAGACATCACTGGTTGCACATCTCAAACAAAAAAACTGCAGTGCACTGTTCTCTGAGAGATCAAATAAGCCTTCCCTTGTTTGAAACAATGGGCAGCAGCGTGCTTTTGCTGCTGAAAGGAGCCTCATGAATATCAGAGGAGGTAAGAACACAGGAAGAAACAAACGCAGTCCTGCCATCTTGTAGAGTGAAGCGGATTCTGAAATGTGACAATTACTGATATCTCCAGTAAAGCAACAGTAAATATTAAAAGAGCTCACAAATCAAACACTACATCGTTAGAGAAATTCCTGCTAGCCTGCACCTCGGCACTGGCCACACCTCAGACAAACTTTCCTCAAATTGCTGGTGGGCACACAGTGCAAGATAATGTACCATAGAAATCTACATTTGATACCTACATAATCTTATTAACCAATGTCACTCCATAAATTCAATAAAAAAGAAAATATTTTTAAAAAAGAGAATTTAAGAACTGGAAAATTAATTTTCAAGTCCAAATAGTAAAATAAAAATAGGAGAATTTGGAAATGACAAAGTAATGAGGGAGAATAGCCACATGTAATAAAACATTATAAAACCACTATAATTAACAGAATCTGGTATATAAACAGATGAGTCAACTGAACAGAGTCTTTTAAAAATACTAAATACATATTCATCTCCTTAATTCGAATAAAATAAATTCCAGATGCATCCAAGTTGTAAATATACAAAAAAGAAGAAAAAACAAATTTGAGAAGTAAACACTGAAGAATCTATATATATATGTAAAGAGCCAGGACCTTAATGTCCAAAATGACTGAAGGCTTGACCAAACACCTGGAAGTCAGTCCTGCAGTCAGAGCTGGGTCGCCATAGTGGAAGTCAGTCCTGGCGACCCAGCACTGACTGCCGAGGGACTGCGATCAAGCCCGAACAGAGGCCGGGAGAGAAAAGCAGGGTGTGATAACAGCCTCCTGGCAGTCAGTGCTGGGTTGGCGTGGCATAAGTCAGTCCTGCAGTCAGTGAACATAGGGTCAATTAATATTAAGTAAACGTAGGGTCAATTAATATCTCTTTGAGAGGAGTTGAGAATATAAAAGTACAGTGTAGAGCAATTACTTATATTATTTCACATAAAACTCTTTTCAACTAAGATATTTTCCTTTATTTAAAATGTATCTTTATTGTTGCAAGTATTACTGATGTTCCTTTGTTTTAGTTGTGCTTTTTTATTTTTCCATTGATCTCCTCCATCCTGCACCCGCCCCTTCCAGGCTTTCACCAGACTACTGTTTGTGTCTATGGGCTATTCCTATGTAATACATAAAAATCTAGAAAGATTTAGAGAAAATAAAATAAAATATATGCCAGGTAAATACTGAACAGAAGAGCTGAAGTTGCTGCGTGAATACTGGATACAGGCTTGACGCCAAAACACAACTCATGAGATAAAGTTAGTCATTATGATATAATAAAAGTTTTTTTTCACTAAAGAGATAGGATGATTCCCAATTCTTATACACATAATAGAACAGTGTGGGGGTTCAGAATGAGCCTCACCAAGATTTTTGAGCTAAGGGCAATTTTAGCTTCAAGCTCAAATAAAAATCCTGCCACTCCCTTAAATACCTAAAAAAAAAATTGAATTAGAGGCCTTGCCCATAATAAAACATTATCCTATATAATAAAAGGCTAATATACAAATCAACTTAACGGTGGAATGACCAGTCGCTATGACACACACTGACCACCAGGAGGCAGATGCTCAATGCAGGAGTTGTCCTCTGATGGTCAGTGTGCTCTCACAAGGGTGGCGCGCTCAGCCAGAAGCCGGGCTCATGGCTGGCTAGTGCAGCAGTGGTGGTGGGAGCCTCTCTTGCCTCCGCAGCAGAGCTAAGGATGTCCGGCAGATGGCCTAGGGAGCAGGCCTAAGCCATCAGTCGGACATCCCCTGAGGACTCCCAGACTGTGAGAGGGTGCAGTCCGCCCCCCACACACACACAAATTTTGTGCACAGGGCCTCTAGTTTTGTTATAATTCTGTTGGAGAGAAAGTATAACACAAAATCCAAAAGCCATTTAAAAAATTCCTAAATTTGACTGCCAAAAAAAAAGTTTAACTTTTTTCACAGTTAAAATTGGAAAATATTGAACTGAGAAAAGACTTGCAACATTTATCTCAGAAAAGAGACAGTTTCTTTTATTTATTTACTAGAGGCCCGGTGCATGAATTCATGCACCAGTGGGGTCCCTCGGCCTGACCTGCGCTCTTGCAATCCTAGATCCCTCGGGGAGTGTCAGACTGCCAGTTTTGACCCTATCCCTGCAGTTCAGGCTGAGGGACCCCACCAGTGCAAGAATCTGTGCATTGGACTGGTTTTGGCTTGATCCCCACAAGCCAGGCCAAGGGATTCCAACAGTGCACGAATCCATGAACTAGGCTTCTAGTATGCATATAAGATCTTTGGTTAATCTCTTCCTTCCCTTCCTCTTCCTCTCTCCCTCTGAGACTCATCAATCTGTTCCATGTGTGTTGAGTACCTGTTCCTTGGTGGTCAGTGTGCTTCATAGCTATTGGTCGAACAGTCAAACAGTCGCTTAGGCTTTTATATATATAGATTTAATTTCTTTATTGTCGAACTGACCCCTCCCCACCTGTTCCAACCCCCTACTGACCCTTTCCCACCTGTTCCAACCCCCAACACATGCCCTCATCCACTAGTTACTTTTATGTAAGGAGTTCCCAGAAATCAGAAAAATGAGTAGAAAACAAGAAAAAGCAGTTTATAGAAAAAGAAATATAAATATCTTAAATATATTTGAAATAATATTTAATTAATAATAAAAATTTTCAAATTATAATTTCAATATGATACTACTAGGGTTACAAAATAATCAAAAGTTGAATAACATGCTGCATTGGTAAAGGAAACAGCAGAGACTTCTGTACACTGTGGATGGGAATGTGATTTGGTATAATCTTTATGGAAAGCAACTGACAGTGGATATTAAAGTATGCACATACCCCTTCATGTGATAATCCTTTTCCAACCATACTCACATGCTAACTGAACTATGTACAAACAGTCATTTAAGTATTGTTTGTGGGAGCAGAAGGTTAAATCAATCTAAATGTCTATTAATAAAATATAGAATACTGGTTGAATATATTATGATACAACTCTTCAATGGAAAATTAAACAACCAGAGAAAAAAACGAGTCAAGAATATATGCACTGAATTTTCTCCAAGAACAATGTATACAGCATTTTATAAAAGTAATTAGAATACACATATACACTAAGCATATGTAAATTGTATGTGTGGTTTTATATAAAGCATAACTCTGGAAGTATAAAAAAGAAATTAAAATTATAGTTATATATAAAAGTAGACATGGGTAGCTATAGATCTAGACTGGTAGGTGATTACTGATTTTTAAATATTAAGATAAAAATTAAATTTGTATATAGTAACAACTTTTGTTTTATTTGCATTTTCAATGTCATAAAGTTAGAAAATATAAAAGACATCATTAAATTCAATATTTATATATCAAAGTCATGCTAAACACTCATAAATAAGTATTTAAAATAATAATACCCGCAAATAAGTATTTAAAATAAAACGTGTGACTTACAATTTTCCATCTTCTCTGTAATCATCTAGGCCCTCATCATATGATTTTGATCTTTCTGTCTTTGAGTTGGGCTGGGCATCCAGGCTGGAAGGTCCAACAGATTCTGGAATTAAAACCAATATTTAGACATTTGCAAGTAGTTTGTAGATTCTTTTACTGGTGAAAAGATCGCAGTGTGTCATTGTATTCTAAATAGAAAATGGAAAATGAGAGATGGTTTACATAAGCACGCATTGAAACATACCCTGGTCATGGGAGAGCTGACGTCGAATTAAAGGAGCTGAAGTTGTAAGGCTGGGAGGGACTGTTGCTAGAGAGGGTGCTTGAGAGGTAGAGGCTGAGATGACAGCAGAAGCAGGGATATGCGCAATATCATGATCAATGCTAGGGCTAGTTGGTTCATCTATTAGATAAAATAAAAATCGAAATGTTGAATGACCTGATTATTATTAGTAATAACAGTAACAGAACAAGTAATCAATTATTATTATTGAAAGAACCAGATAAAGACTTTAACATGACCAATAGAGTACCAATAAATGACATATTCATCCTGTTAAAAATATACAGTTATTATTCTAGTATTCCAAGTAATTCTGAGAATACGGTATAAGAAATGAAATGAGTTGCTTCTTTTACTTCTATCAATCAACCAGCACCTTCACTAACTGATAATCAAGATACCAAAGTTTATAGGTATTTAGAACCTAAATCTACTAAATCAGAGCAATCATATACCACCCTAAATTCCCCCCCCCCCAAATTTTAAATTCATTGCATATTATCATTTCAGGCAGCTAAGCAAGGTGATTGATTGGCTGAGGCTTCAAAGTATTAATTTATAAAATTATAACTTCTCCCCACCACTACACTTAAGTACAGCTTCAATTTTTGTAGAAAAATAAGGAAGTACAATATGTAGCTGGCAGAAGAAGGTATGCATTATCAAGGTCTATGAAATTTGTGGATGAAATTTGTGCCCCTCCCCCTAATTTCACATGGTGAAACCTGACCCCTAATGTGATGATATATGGAAGTGGAGCCTTCAGGAGGTGACGAGCAGGTGATTAGGCTCCACTCCCATGAATGAGATTATAGTGACCTTCTAAAAGAGAACCTCAAAAGCTCTCTTGCTCTTTCTACCATAAAAGAAAGAGGAACCCGGTCCTCAACTGACACCGAATCTGCTAGTGCCTTGATTTGGACTTCCCAACCTCCAAAACTGTGGGAAAAATTTTTTTGTTATTTGAGCATCTCTTCTGGCATTTTTGTTATAGCAGCCCAAACAGACTGAGTTAGCCACTGCTAGTTAATTTGTCATTTCAGTGAAAATAAAAAAAAGAACGTAGGCCCTCACTCAGGAGAAATCTCAATTTGCTCCCTTGTACCCTTACAAAAATATAAATATTTTAGGTGTTATAAATTTTAAGCTTCTCAAAAGGCCATCATGGACAGAAATGTATATGTGAATGTACATATATGCATAATAACAATAACATATTAATAGTGTTTACTAGGTATCAGCACCATTCTGAATTCTTTACATATATATTACTTCAATTCTAATGACACTTTATGATCTATATTATAGATTGTTCTATAGAAATAAGTACTATTTTTAAAAACCAAGATAGATAGGTTACTTGTATAAAGTTACCAAGCCAAATTGGCAAACAATAGTTCTGGTCAAAATCCTCATTCTTGTGAAAATTTCAGTCGTTGAATTTCTAATATTTTAGGTCAAAGGAATGTAACTTAATAAGATGCAAGAACTATAGTTCTTAAAATAAATGCACCAACCCTTAGAAAATCATAATAAAACCCTTTATTTTTTATTTATTTTAAATATATTTTTATTGATTTCAGAAAGGAAGGGAGAGGGAAAGAGAGAGACAAACATCAATGATGAGAAAGAATCACTGATTGGCTGCCTCCTGCTTGTCCCCTACTGGCGATTGAGCCTACAACATAGGCCTGTGCTCTGACTAGGAACTGAACCATGACCTCCTGATTCATAGACTAATGCTCAACCACTGAACCACATCAGCCAGGCCATAATAAAACCATTTAAAGGATGTAATGATGAAATGAGATTTTGATTCTGTGATTTAAAAGGTCAAGTATTTTAATTTTAACCAAATCCTAAGATTGTTCTATCAGCTTAATGATCAACATCATAATCAAAACAATAATGTTAGAAAATTCTAACATTTCCATTTTATGGCTAAAAAATCAGTGAATTCAGACTATCATAAGCTATCAGAGCCCAAATCTTGAACCACGCGGGATGTGGGACTTCACAAGTCTCTCTCTTTCTCTCTCTCAAATCAATTTTTATAAACTTTTAGGCAAGAATGTTTAAAAATAAGCCACTAAAATATTAACATGTGCTTCTAATCTTTGATCAAGGATCAAGGGACAAACCTCTGCAGATTCGCTGAAACTTTTACACAAATTAAAGAGTTCTTGAAGCAGTAAGTCCTGTTAAGTTACATCAACTGGTAAGGGGGTGCTATCACCTAGTTCAAATATCCTCATTTTTTTATAACAATAATTCAACTCATCAGGTTTTTAATTAAGACCGAGCGTCTTTAATAGCCAGCTTAATAAACATACATTTAAGTTAACATTTGGCTTTTTGAAAGCCATTTTGGGATTAATATCTTTCTACTAGATAGATAATTTTTAAAAGGTAAAAAGTTGGGAGAATACTTTATTCATACTTTACATGACCGCATGGCAGTTGGTAGTGAAGTAAAGAGAAAGGAGTTGTAAGAGGACCTGCTGTTATAGCAGGAATTTGAAAGGCAGGTGATGAAACAAGAACAAAAGCAGGAATGTGTGCAATGCCATGGTCAGCACTGGGTCTAGCAGCTCATCCACAAGGTAGGATGCATCATATTAACACAGCAAGTGCTCTAAGTTCTAAAAGGTCAAGTGGAAGTATTGCTTTTAGATTTGTCACAGATGACAGGTTATAATTACTGCTGAATTTCTGCAGTCCCATAGATCTGAGGAGGTAACTTAAGATTTCATGGGTTTGTGTGTATGTGAGGACGCCATGTGTGTATGAAAATTGACCCGGCTTGCCAGCTGACAAATACTGCAAGTATTTATTTCAAGAAACTCAACATTTACTTTAAAATAACTAAACGCACCAATTTCACTAACCAATCTGTAGAATTATTTTCACACATAAAATAAGAAAGCCACTGGGAATGGGGAAAACTGAGCAGAAAATCAAGAGGCTTAGATCCTGTCTGGTTTGACTTTGTGAAGCCACTTAATTTTTCTGGGTATTAGATTCCTTACCTATAAAATAAAGACATCAGACTAGGATTATCAGAAGGTTCAATTCTAGTTCAAGAGCTGACAATAATAAATCCACTAAGGGTGTAAAATTATGTTTATTTTATGGAACAATATAAAATCTTCTATGTTTTTCTAAACAAGAGATTTGTTAGGGGCTTTTGTGGTTTGGATCTATTTTAAAAACTGACAGATGGTGCTGAGAGTGTAGTTACTATTGGATCTATTTTCAACATTAAAGAAATAGCTGAAAATCCAGAAAAGCTACTTTAGGGAAATAATTCCATAGTTTTTATAAATGCAAAGTTTAAAAAAATTATTTCCCCTAAATAAATAAGCTTAGTATTCTATAAAGTGTGCAACAGATAAATTTGAAAATTTTTAATAAAAGTGAATGCCACTATCAAAAGGAAGATAAACGAACAGCTAAATTCATTCTGCAGTGAACAATTTATTTATCAATCTTGGAACAAATAAATTTATTTAGTGAAAAGATACCAATTCAAGCTCGGGAAATCTGAGCTGAGAATGGTGAATATTAAATTCACAATTATTTTTTAGGCTAAGATTTAAAAGAGAAAAAGACAGGATTAAAATTTAACGAAGTTTTAGAGCATTGTCAAAAGAATAAGCAATGTGGAAACAGCAGATCACCAACTCTGTCAGTTACCTGCTGAGAGATCTTAAGCAAAATACTTAACACTCCTTATCCATAACGGGTGTTATTTATTCCTGACCTAAATTTTCTACCAGATTATTGCATGAAATACTTAGTAGATTATAAAGTACTACAGAAGTTCTGAGGTGTGTTTTTCATTATTATATTAAAAATTACCTCATATCACTCAAATAATAAAAGCAAAAATCTCTAATAACTATTTATGGTGTCAGATGGGCACTAATTTATTGGGCTGATAAGTTAGTAAGTTATATGTCTAATCATGATTGTACACCTAAAACAAATATAATAGTGTATGTCAACTTTAAAAGAAAATTACTTAAAGTAAAAAAATTTCAAGATAAAAAAGAACCAATGAAATCACAATTTTGGGAAAAGTTGATATATGAAAAAATTATAAGACGTAGAATATAATTTTTCTCTTTATAAATTTGTTTTGCAAAAAGACTAAGTATGTATTTAATATAAAAGAGGGTCAGAAGTGCTCACTGCATACTCTTACAATATCATTGTTGGCAATGAAGACTAGAGCTCTTTAAGGTGGTAAGTGTGATATAAGATGATAGTCACCCATTTCCATTTCTTTTTTTAAAATTTTATTTTATTATTTAAAGTATTACAAACAGTAGTACATTTGTCTCCTTCCCCGCCTCCCATTGACCTTCTCCCAGACTCCCTTACCCCACTTCCCCCTCCCAGGCACATGCCCATTTCCATTTCTTATGGGCAAATTTCAGATAGCTAGGCTCAACTGAGTAGACACTGTCACTTACAATCTTTAAAACGTCTAAATTGGTTGAAAATGGCAGTGCCAATAAAGCTACACCAATCGAATTCAATTTTAGTTAGGTTAACGAGGAGTATTAGAAATAGCCCTCCCTCCCTGCCCCACCCCCCAAAAAAAAGGGAAATAAATTTGAGATGACTTCTGGGTACAACTAAAATAGCTATATTTTCTTTACATTAATAGTTAAGAATAGTATAAATGTACAAAGTAAAGATTGTAGAACACATCTTAATATTTGTTACTAAATATCAAATCATGAACTCATTATTCATTTTGATTTTTGTTTACTTGTAAATGAAGTTGAAATTTGTTTTTAAAACCTTCCATGAAGCTTTAAAAAGTATATATGTGAGTGGCTGGGGGTAAACAAAATACTATAGGTGACTGATATTCCCAATTTAAAAAACAAATAAATTGGTTTATTTTCCAATTTTTTTTAAGTCTTTGTGACAGGAAAAATTAGATGTTAAATGTGTAAAAATGTGGGAAAATCTTTCTGTAGACATATCATTAGCTCTTATTATAGATAAGAAAATAAAAGAATTAGTTCTATTATCTGATATTTTGGGACTAAAGCCACAACATTTAAATGTCATTATTTTTTGCATTAGTGTATGATGCTTTTAAATAACAAAAATAATTATTAAAATTACAGAATATGATATTCTGGTGTGTGATGATACAAAAGCAAACCTTAATTTCTTTTTTTCATTTGAATTTAAGTATCACATAAAATAGTGTAGACTACAGACCAATATACCCTAAAGTGTATTTTATGTTATATTATAGAGAGACTCTAAATCAGCAGTAGGGGATATCCAGCCCATGGACTGTATAAGTCCCATGAAATCATTTGGACTGGCCCTGCCAAAGCAATCAAGTCCCAAGGCAACCAAGGGACTCAAAATTCAATAAATCTAGGAGTTGTTTTCATAGCAACATAAATTTAAGTTAAGTAAATTACATTAAGCGAATGATGTTATGAATAACCAAATGGTCCTTGGCAGAAAAAAAGGTTCCCCACCCCTGCTCTAAATGAAAGAAGTCATGGTCAAATACTTCTGAGAAAAACTGTATTACATCCTACCCAGAAAATTCATGATTTATAACACATTAATGATTGTGAGAATCTTATGGTTAAGATGAGAAAAATTTGTTTAACTATTTAAGCCCAGCATTTCTCAATTATCTGATTATTGGTTATTCTTCCCTCCTGTATCCGAATGGGATTAGTGTTCCCAGAAAACACTTGAGGAAATTACAAATAGTCTCTCTGTTCCATTTCAATGCCAGCATCCATCCCACTAAAATATGTATTTCTTAAAATAACTAGATTGAAAGGAGAAGCATCTATGGGTCAAATAAAACTTTAAAACTCACTAATAAAAGGATTTCAATACTTAATTTTGGAACTTACATTTAATGAAATGCTGGAAGTTCTTTTGTTGATTGGTTAGTTATGTACTTAACACAGTTACTGGAGCAGATTAATTAAGTACAGCGTGGGGCAAATGGAAGTTTACACTTGTAAGTACATGAGACACAGGGTTTATGTTTGTAATATTAGTATTAATTATTGAATCATTTATTATTATTATAAACCTACTTTTGCCCATCCTGTATTTTTTTGGACTTTGAGATTACAGTAAAAATTTTTTAGTCTAAGAGCTAAAATATTTTCACAGTATAAAGGCAAATATATTATGCAAAAGAAATGTTCTGTTGATTTTATGCACTAAAAATTAGATAAATTCTAAAACTAGCTTCTTTCCCATACCTTTATTTCAAACAGAATTAAATTTTATAAAAAATTTATAAAAAACCATGAAAATGCTATAAAAACCTGGAAGGCGCGCTGGTGTATCCTTGGATAAGATTCACATATAAAGCACAGTAAAACAAATTCTGTTCTAGTTCAGTTCTTTATTCTACCCTAATTCCACTGGTGCTGTAAACTGATACACCATAGTAATCATATGCTATATATTAAGGTTCTATGAGGCTCACAGAAAATAAATGGACTATAGAAGCATTTCTGTGCTGGGGACTTTTTAAAAGTCATGATTTATTAAACAAAAGATATTCACCAGGAACTATGAAGGAGGCTCTAATAAGTACCTAAAGTGGAATCTGATCAAATCTAATCAATGAGCATTTTCATTTGTAATAAAGAAAGTGACTTATTTTAATAATTTTCCTAATCTATGTGTTTATAGAACTTTATATTTTTAGTTAGCCAACATTATCTCCTTAATAACATAATTAACTTTTTATTTATTTCTGTATTTAGCATAAATAGGAAGAAATATTAACATCTATAACTAGCACATGTTTTATTATTCCAATATAATATCATTAATTATTATTAAGTAGGAAGAAATTATGTTGCCAGTATTCTGAAAAGATCTCACAAGTCTTTGAAATATGGCCACAGGTTGTAGGGCTTTTTATGTCTTAGGAAATTGTAAAACAATCATTAGCTCTCAGTTACTGACTATGAACTATCTAGATGATGTAGAAGGTTCCCCCTACAGCAAAGTTCTACTATTCTCGAGGTTAGCCTTAAGGGCACATACACTGAGTGGCCAGATTATTATGCTCTCTGAACCTATAATAATCTGGCCACACACAAAAAAAATGTGTGTGTGTGTGTGTGTGTGTAAATGTTAGAGTCTAGGTGCATGAATTAGTGCATGGGTGGGGTCTGGCCAGCCTGGCCAGGGGGAGCAGACATGGGCGGTTGGCTAGCCTGCCTGCTAGTCGAACTCCTGGTTGAGGGGACAATTTGCATATTTGCCTTTTATTATATAGGATATACACTAAGTGGCCAGATTATTGTGCGTTCAGAGATAATAATCTGGCCACTCAGTGTATATGGATATGAGTACAATTTAGGTTAAGACTCCTCACAATGTGTTCAACTTGAATATATCATACTTATAAACAATAAGTAAAATCAGAATTTTTTAAAAAGCTGATTCTGATATATAACCTGGCATTTTAATGGTTCAACAGATTTAAAAAAGTTTACCTAGAAAAGAAAAACTGAAATATTATCCGAAGAGAAACACAATATATTGTCAAATTGTGAACTTAGGAGGTCATGAACTTATGAGGTCAGAGAGTAACAATTTGGGTCTTGGCCTCAAAGCAAGGCCCCTGCACCACACAACTTCAGGGGACGCTCTTCACAATGCACCCGGTATAAAGGGTGCTCTGTGATGTGGCTGAATCAGAGAAGCCTTCAATCCCTGTCTCTACCACTTACTGTGTGATTTTAGGGAAGTTAGTTAAGGACAGAGAACTGAACAAATGATCTAAAATCCTGGCTCTCATGTGGTTTGTTTTATAATAGCTCAGCAAAGAAACATGTAATAAACAAAAATTACAAAACATACCAAGTAGAAACAGGTGATGTGAAGATAAACAGCTTAAGAGGATAGGGAACTGCCAGGATCTGTGCATGTGTGTGGGCACTTATTTTGGATAGGCTGATTTGCCAGGATCTGTGTATGTGTGTGGGTTCTTATTTTGGATAGGCTGATTTGCCAGGATCTGTGTATGTGTGTGGGTTCTTATTTTGGATAGGCTGATTTGCCAGGATCTGTGTATGTGTGTGGGTTCTTATTTTGGATAGGCTGATTTGACAAGGTAATGCCATGTAGCGAGAGAGGACAAGTCAGGCAGTGCCCGGGCCCTGAAGCAGGACATGCCTGGCAGTTCACATCTGCAAAGCTGGCGTAGATGAAGATGGGGTGAATGAACAGAAGATAGGACATGGAGTCAGAGGTGGAGTCGTGTTGGGGATGGCCTCACAGGCCACTGTAGGATTTTCTATTCTATTTTGGGTAACGTAGGAAGTAAACAGAGGGTTAGAGTGGCATGATCTGATTTACATTTCTGAAACATTAGTGGCTGCTTTGTGAAGAATATACCTGAGTGTATATACCTGAGGTGTGTAGGAGCTGACTAAAGACTTGGTACATGTGACAGGTGTTCTAAATTGGGGCACATGCTTATCATTTAGGTAATTTTTCCAAATACATTCCAAGAGTTATTCTAAGACAGCAATTTGACAATGAAGAGGTCTCTTTTTTTCAGCTTAATTTATACACACACACTTTAGGAAGTAAATAGCGTTGTTTATATCAGGGGTAGGGAACCTTTTATTCTTTCTGCCTAGGGCCATCTGAATATTTATAACGCCATTCTCGAGCCATACAAAATTATCAACTTAAAAATTAGCCTGCTAGCCTGGCTGGTGTATCTCAGTGGTTGAGTGTCGACCTATTAACCAGGAAGGTCAGTTTGATTCCCGGTCAGGCCATATGCCCAGGTTGTAGGCTCGATCCCCAATAGGGATTTGCATGAGGCAGCTGATCAATAATTCTCTCTCATCACTGAAGTATCTATCTCTCTCTCTCCCCCTCCCTTCCTCTCTGCAATCAATAAAAATATATTTTTAAAAATTAGCCTGCTATATTTGGTCAAACATTTAATTAATTCACCCCTAATGTCTAGGCAGGACCAACCAAATGATTTCCCAGGCCTTATATGACCCTAGACCAGATGTTACCCGACCCTGATTTATATGGGCGATTGATTACTAATTGTCAAAACTGCTCTACCTAACTTTTGATTCAGATAAATCATCAGCTAGGTACAATAAAGTGGCAGTTTGTTTCATTTAAACAAAAACTTAAAAAGGAGACTGAATATGTCAAGTCTAAAAATAAAATAAAAGGGGAAAGAGGATAAATACTTATGGCTCTGGTTTTAAGCGCAACTTAGAAAATTCAGAAAAATGCTTTATTTTTTAATATTTTTAAAATTAATTTCAGAGAGGAAGGAAGAGGCAGAGAGAGATAGAAACATCAATGATGAGAGAGAATTATTGATTGGCTGCCCCCGGCATGCTCCCCACTGGAAATTGAGCCCGCAACCTGGGCATATGCCTTTGACTGGAATTGAACCTAGAACCCTTTAGTCCACAGGTTGATGCTCTATCCACTGAGCCAAACCGCCTAGGGCAGAAGAAATGTTTTAAAACCACAGTGTAAAATTTCTGTGCCTGTCAAACTAGAAACACTTTGCTAAAAAGATGTGTTAAATATCGGACACACAGCCAATGACCATAAAGGAGCTCACCTATGAATGGGATGGAGGCCAAGGAGTCAGCAGGCGGGCTGGTGCTGGAGGCCTTTCTTTCCTCGATCCTTTTTATATGGACCTCTCGGCGTGCGTCATTGGGCAGCCAGCAGGTAGTGTCTGATGCGGCCTCGTGGTCATTTACTGCCAAGATGTAAGACTGATGCCTCAGAGGCTGTGGTGTTTGGCGACCAGAGGGAGGCTTTTCTCTTAGGATGACAGTTTCTTTACTATCTACAGTATCTGACTGCTCAATGTCAGCCGCTTGCAAATGTACATCCTGGATCCTTTGCGTGGCAGGTGATTCTCCTTCTGAAGTGCCAGAGTTGTCATTCACCTGAGGGGCAGCCTGAGGAGCTCCGGATAGACAGGGGGCTTTCCCAGTCTCCACCTGGTGACTGGGGACGCTCTCAGATCTTACCCGCGCCTGCTGATTCAACAGACTGTTTTGATGCAAGTGATTTACTGGTCTTTGGTCTTTGATAGAAACAAAGGAACTCTGGCTAAAGGATGGTTTTGCGACCTGCATCGAAGGTGCTTTCAGAGAATTACTTCTGACTTTGACAAGAGGCGACCTGCTTTGTGAAACGCCTTGAGGCAGTGACATTCCACCAGTGGTTTGGAAACTTCTGTTTGACTGTGCCGCCTTTAGATCCGGTGGAACTTTTGTAAACTGAGACACAGCTCCCACTGCTCTGCCACCGCTTCGCCTAACATCAGAATTCACAGCACTCGGAGCCACGGTAAAACTGGAACCTCGGAAAGATCTGTGGATTTCTTGCTGCCTGGGTCTTTCGTAAATGCCTCGCCTATCGTCCTGCTCAGTGAACCCACTCCACTTGTAAGTCTGTTTCCTTTCTCCATTTGAATCTGGCATTTGACTTTCAGAAGCGACGTTTTCCACGGTTTCCCCCTGTCCTTCGATATAATCCCACGAGCGGGTCCTGTGATTGCTAAAGCTGACAGGTGGGGCGGTGAGCGCCCCCTGCGACGCACTGCGAGGACAGAACTTCATCAGCGCCGCGTCCTCCAGCCTCTCCTGGGACACGCTGCGCTGGCGGATCTGCACGGCCTGCGGCGCGCGGTCGTGAGAGGCGCTGCGGCGTCGTACCTGCGAGGTCGTGCGGTTCGGGACCACCTGGTTGTAGTCCGCGGTGCTCTGAGACGCTGCCCTTAAGCTATCTAATCTTTCCTGAATTGTCCGACAACCCATGTGCAATCGCCTGTTATCAATATACTCTTTGTAAGTTTTATAGTTTCTCCAGTCTATGTGCTGATGGGAATTTGGAGAATAATGATTAACAGACACGGAAGGAGAATCCAACGCTTGAGATCTTTTGCTCGAGATTCCTTCTGATCGTCCACTGTAATTGCCAGACTTGAGTAAAATTCCAGAAGGTTCCAACGATCTGGAGCCTGGAGCCTGGTGAATTAGGTGGGCCGTGGGAATGGATGATGGTGGTGATGTGGTTCTTGACACTGTTTTTAAAGGGGGCTGCTCACTTAGGCCATACCTCACCTCCTCAGTTCTGTGCGAGGGAACTGTGTGGTTGTTTCTATTAGGTAACAAATCTACAACCTTCTCAGAAGGTACAATGACGGTCCTCACACTCTCATTGCAAACACACACCACTGTGTTCGACTTTGAGACGTCTGTGGGTGATGGAGGCACTTGTATTTCCATTCTGTAGGCCCTGCTGGGCTGGGCGAGTACTGGGGTGCTGGTCTGCTGTTTGCTGGATGAGAAGTCCGGAGGAGATACTTCCGCTGGCGCTGCCATGGCTGAAGGGGCAGATGGCAGCCAGGGGTAGCAGATTGGTGGAGGCTCGGGGATATTGCGGGCATTGCCACTGTAGGCTTCATTGCCTTTCAGGTAGGCATCTTGAGAATACGCCTACATGGAAATGAGAGGCAAGTGTCATTAAAAATTCATTAAAGGAAGAATAATTCCCATTCTGGCAGTGCACTACTTTATTTTACGGTGCCCTACCTTGTTCCTGAGTGGCATTCACTCAAGCATGCATGCAAATACAACGTAAGGGTAACACTACAAATCTAGAAAAGGGCTAGTCTCTCAGAAATCAAATAAATTGTAGAATGTGCAACAAAAATTACAATTGCCTATTTTCTCAAAGGATTAGAAGCACACCAAAAATTTCCCCCACCAATCGGATACATCCAGATTGCTTCCAAAATTTTCCCCATTCAAGTTTCATGATTTTTCAGCAATCGACAGGTTAAATCTCAGCAAAAGAAGATTCTGATCTTTTGATCAGAATAGAGGTGAAAATATTAAAAATCTTAACCAAACACATTTCCATTTTAAGCACTACTGCTCTCATAAATTAGGTATCTTGATTAATGATTACTGAGTCCCCCAAAATAATCCATTTTGATAAATCAGGTCTTTCAATAACCATGCTAAATATTTCAATAGTTAAAATGAGAAGAATAGGTATGTTTAAGAAAGTAAGCACTACATTAAAGGCATAAAAACATGAAAATAAAGGTAACTCACTATTCTATACATAATTCTCATTTTAAGCTCATGCAAAATTCTATTGTACAAATTTATTTGGTCTCTTTTACTTGTTACGAGACGTTTCTCTACTACTAACAGGCAGGCATGCAGTTCAATTTTTTTTTTTATCAATTATTTGTAAAATTACCTCGCAATATATTTTAAAACTTAAGAAAAACTGAAATTAAACAGAGTCTACAAAACAGAGCTAATCAATGCAACTCGTGACTGTTTAGCATCTGAGGCAGCTAGGTGTGGTATCATATTACATATCTTCCTCTAATCAAAACAAGCTGCATTCGAGACTATCATCATATCCTGCCTTCGCATTAGATAGCTTGCAAAGCTCAAGCGCAGCCACAAACAGCATCACAGCAAAGGACTAAGGAAAGAGAGAGGGTGAGATACTTAAAAATACAGATGCAGATAAATATCATGTTCTGAAACCAGTTATGCACAGAATAAAAAAAATTAAAAATAAAGAAAACAATGCTCACACACATTCTGCAAATTAGTAAGATTAACAATATGGAGTGATTTCTCTAAGCAAACTTATAGTTTTAATCAATTGGCTTGTTACAAATCTCTAGCAAACATGACATAAAAAAGCAAGGAAATGGCTTCTGTGCATTTCTTACCAGAGCTGTGACATCCTTTGTAAATTGCAGCTAGCAGAAAATAGGAAAACATAGTAGAAGCTGCTTACTGATATAAAGACAGAATCATGTTGTCACATTGATGCTGGAAACAGCAAGCTAAAAATACAGCTACACTGATTTCTCTGGAAGGTACCAAGAGAGGTAAAGGGCAGTGAAGCATAAAGAATAACTTCAGTATCCTTATGAGCATCTTTTTCTCGGACTTTTATCTGGCTCTCATTTGACTCGCCTACCATTCTTGAAAGCAAAAGCCATCTGATGACATGCATTCCTAACAGATTATTTCCCTCGCTGCGCCCTGCTGTCTGACAGTGTGCTCCAAAGCTTCCCTTCCGCAGGAGCAACATTGATGTCCCTCATTTCCCCTGAGCGGCTTCCATCTCTGCTTCCAGATGACGAAACGAACGCTCTATTATGCATTTAAAATAGTACAATCCCCTCCTTCCCCTGTACATCAGAGCATAACCACGAGCAAGTGGGCTGACTGCAGCTGCTTTTATACCATGATTTGGGGGGAGGGGGGGTTAGAATGACTGTTTTATTAAGTAGGTTTCACTCAGAAATTAAGATCTTTCAACATTGAACCTTTTGCCTTGTTTCATTATGGAAATAAGTACTGATTGGGCAAAAAAATATTACTTTCAGAATAACCCTTCTTATAATGAATATTCTACACATAAACTTAGCTGCACTGAGAAATTAAACCGAAGTAGATAAAATACAATATGCATGCCCAATAGTTTTAGTGAATGGACACAGTCAAAACATACATTTTGGATATGTGCACTGACATAACGAACTATCTTTTTAATGCTGATTATATTCACACCAATACTTTTCCATGAAAGGAAAGCTGGGCTTGAATGAATGAGCTCTCATGTACATTATTCCCCATGGCGTGTTTGTGCAGTTTTATTAGGGATCACCGGAAAGGGGGTGTGAGGCGGGTTCTCTGCGGTCAGTGATGTAGGGGAAGGTTGGCTGGTTCTTGACTTCTCAGGGCCTCCACACTACCTTAATACACAATCAAAACTCATGAGGAAATTACAGGCTTCTTTGACCATGGAGCCCATTTTCTCTAGGGGTTTCACATGATTAGAATTTCTGCTAGAAAATGCTGTTCTTTTAAAGATACCTCCTTATTCAAATTTGGGAAGGAATATTGACATACTTCAGACATTGCTAAGATTTCTATATAGCAATACTAAACAGGAAATAGTCTATATTTATGGGTCCCCTCAGAATTAACAGTAGACTGAATAAATAGGATGTCTTACACATATAGAACTACTGTCTAATGTAAGCAGATATAGTTGCAATTAATAAAATATAATTCATTCAAGAGCATTAGTGAGTTTCTTCACATAGTCTATCACTACCTAAACACTAAAAATCCTTATCTATCTATCTATCTATCTATCTATCTATCTATCATCTATCTAAAAGTTGCTCATTTTTTGCCAAGACCAAACGGTTTGGCTCAATAGATGGCCTGCGAACTGGAAGGTCCCGGGTTCGATTCTGGTCAAGGGCATGTACCTTGGTTGCGGGCACATCCCCAGTGTGGGATGTGCAGGAGGCAGCTGATCGATGATTCTCTCTCATCGATGTTTCTAACTCTATCCCTCTCTCTTCCTCTCTGTAAAAAATCAATAAAATATATTAAAAAAATAAATAAAAAAATAAAAGTTGCTCATTTTCATAAAGTTTGAGAACCAATACCATTAACATCCCTGGGGAAATCAGCAGTGCCCTAAGACCCTTATAAATTAGTATGTGTTCTAAGTGGGTCATGGCCACACCTGGGAATAATTCTGGAACTTTTAGGTTATTTTGAGAGGTGTGGTACAGACACAAATTAGCTTCCAATAAATTTAGGGAAGTAAATTAGGAATAGACAATATGCACTTTAAGGAACCCTTCTCTCCCAAGATGTCTTTAAGTTCCACCAGAAAACAAACACCTGCTACGGAATGCAGCAGAAAGTATTCACCAGAACTTGGGCAAACACTGGGTGGATCATCTGGAATGAATTACAATACACCACTCTTTGACGTGAACATGGAATACATTGATAAGGTTTTATATTCTTGAAACAGAACTAAAAACTCAGTAACTTGCTCATAGCTGTGACTGTGGAACACTTTCCCTTGCGTACTTCCCTACATGACTTTCATTGAGATGTCATGGTCTGACTTATCCATGTTTGAATGAATAAATAAAAATGTATTATTTAATACTAAATAATCCTGAAATAATCTTTCAATTCAGTTTTAGGAAAGTTGCATTAAAATCACTATTACCATACCTATGAAAGTTATACCATCTAATAAATGATAAAAACAAACAACAAAACAAAAAACTCCTGCAGAATACATAAGCTGGTAACAGTAAAATTCCTGCCTGCCATTTTACTTTAACATGCTGACTTATTAAATTAATGTTATTACCTCTGAGAAAAGCAAAAATAACGACATGTCTGTTTGTATTATATAATATAATATAATATAGTATAATATAATATAATATAATATAATATAATATAATATAATATAATATAATATAAACCAACCATGCCACATGGGAGAAGGGGAAGGGTGGGTATTTTATACCTTTGTAAATTATTGGAAATTTTTCTAACAAGCATGTACTATTCTTATATTATGTAAAAACAGATTAAAAAAAAAAAGCAACTGCTACAAACTTGCCAAATGTGAAAAAATCCCTCCAGAAATCCTACTGCTGTTTCTCTTACTCTAGGCAGTACCATCCAGATCCACACTTGACCAATGAATTATCTTATTTTGAAAAGAATATTCTACTGATTATAAAACATATTAAATGACTATTTTGAAATTAATTATTTTCTTTCAATTGCAGTTTGCATTCATTGTTATTTTGTATTGGTTTCAGGTATACAGCATAGTGGTTAGACAATCATATACTTTATAAACTGTTCCTCCCACTATTTCCAATACCCATCTGGCACCATATATAGTTCTAATAAACCTAAAGACAAACTTGGGTTAAATTACATTTTAAAAAATATATTTTTATTGATTTTGTTATAGAGAAGAAGGGAAAGGAATAGAGAGTTGGAAACATCAATGAGAGAGAAACATCAATCAGCTGCCTCCTGCACACCCGTTACTGAGGATGTGCCCGCAACCAAGGTACATGTCCTTGACCGCAAATGAACCTCGGACCTTTCGGTCCAAAGGCTGACGCTCTATCCACTGAGCCAAACCAGTTAGGGCTAAATTACAAATTTTTAATTTGTATCATATCTCCATGCAGTGGAAAACAGAGCATTGGACTCAAAGCTCAGGTGTGAGTAAGAATAACAGCTCTGAACTAACTAGCAATATGACTGTGATAAGCCTCCCTATCTCCCATCAGTAACCAATGGCAGAATAAGACTTGTTTAGTTTAGAGGTCAGGTTTTAGTTTCTGACCGGCAGGGTTTCAAATCCTAGAGCCATCACTTCCTGCCCTGTTACACTAGAAAGGTGTTTCACCTTGCTATGTTTTTAATCCAATCCAGCACCAAATAGGCTCAAAACGCCCTGGTAAAACATTAGATATACACCCAAGAATCTCCACAGCTATCAGATCTGACCAACTCAAAATTGAGCCAAATGCCTAACAAAATATCTTGAGGCATCCACTGAAAAAAAATGTTGAGATTGAGTTCTCCTATCATCAGTCTACTCAAGAAAGTATTTCATTCGGCCAGCATTACTGTTGATGGATGGTGGCTATTTCATTCACACAGAGCTTTGATATGTGAATACCATTTTCTTTTTTTAATGAAACAGGAAATGCTTCTTGTTTTGTAACAATACCTTACAAATATGAAACTAAGATATCACAATCTAAAATATCATTATAAAATAAACTATTTATCATTAATCCAGAAAATATATGCTGGTTTAAAAAATTAAGCTGCCAGGCACAGGATTACTATCACCAGCACTAGTTAATAACATAATGAATTATTCTTCGCTTTACTTCATTCTATCACTGTCACCTGTAAATTATGAAATTTATTATTATTATTATTATTATTATTATTATTATTATTATACCTGTCCTTACGTGAGTCAAGTTTTAAACCAAACTACAGCTTCTCTGTTCTCTCAAAGATGAGCCTGGTACTTCTAGAACAATGTGGTCCGTATATCACTTCAGGAACAAAATTTCATGGACACACCCAACTTGCCTACCCAAGCAAACATATACAAATTATGATAGGCTTCTTCCCTTGGGTAAATAATTCTTACAGTGGCTGTAAAAATGGTCATGTTTACTTTTTATTTACAATAAATGTTCAATCTCATGGGACAAATACATCTTTACAAGTATATATTTGGGATACCAGATTTAAAACTACCATAAATACTTCTGAAGGCCCCTCATAGAACTTTTTAGCTTTAGAATCTGTCAGAAGTATCTGTAATGAGCTTTTTTAAAATCCCACATTCTTTTCTTATTTGTTTGTTTTGTAATAGCAGGGAAAAAATAACACTTATAGCTATTCCAACTAAAAACATTTATGCAGAAAAGAAATTGCCCGATAATAATGAAACAATGCATAGAGTGCATTAATTATATACATTCCTTCAGTTTCCTAATGAATTATAGTACATCCAAGTGTGAATAAAGGCTGTGTTTTTGAGTGAGATTTTCTTTTATTATTAGGGGTAAGAGCTTTTAATATCTTATGGTTGCTGAAACCGGTTTGGCTCAGTGGTAGAGCATCGGTCTGCAGACTTAAAGGTCCCGGGTTCGATTCCGATCAAGGGCATGTACGTTGGTTGTGGGCACATCCCCAGTCGGGGGTGTGCAGGAGGTGGCTGGTCGATGTTTCTCTCTCATCAACGTTTCTGGCTCTCTATCCCTCTCCCTTCCTCTCTGTAAAAAGTCAATAAAATATATATTTTTAAAAAATATCTTATGGTTCATGTAACATGTTTAAAAAATGAGTTTCTGTTATAATATCCCAGCATCCTTTACTGATGAACCTTAAAGATATATATACTCATGTCATTCTAGTGAGCCAATTTTCCCCTCTGTTTGCAATCCTTTGTGTTTTCCTTTATTTTAAATGTATTTGTCTTAAGTATAATATAACAAGACAGATAAATTAACCTAATTTTCCACTGACTGCATCATTAGAGAATTATTCCTTCCGCTGTGGCTGCTGCTCTTCATCAACCACACAGCAGGCTGGGGCAGTAATCCTGTGTTTGTTTCCTTCCCTGGGCAGTTAGTGCCATGCCAGCCGCCCTGTGAAATGTGCACTGCTCAAAACTGCGTCCAGCCAGTGCCTTCTCTTTGGAAAGGAAAGCGTCTACTGAAGATGAGAAAACAGTTCTGTTTGGGGAGCACATTCTGTCCTCGAGTCACCAGATTGCACAGAGGGTACAAGGTAAAGCTTTCCCTGCCATCTGTCTAACATTTTCTAGCCCTTGTTGAAGGGGAGCACTGGAGGAAGACCCTATCTATCTCTTATCTCGGGACCTCACTGGTCCTCAGTGATTATGTCTGCTGCTCTCTCACTCTGTGCTATCTTCAGCGTAGGAACTCTGCCACTAGCTCCATATGCCTTGGCGGATCACCTTGGATAGTGGCACCTTCCTTGCTGAGGCTCCAACCCCAATAGACTGTACTTAAAACGGTTAGTCTGTTATCAGTAAAAAGCCACTCCCAAATAAAATCAACACACCTTGTAAATACAAGGTTGAATTCCCTGGATTTCAGTTCATTATATTTACATGTCAGTGTATAAGTTGAATCATTAGAATCAGCTTTAGTGACATTTTTGTGAAAACAAAAGTTTATAGAAGATTACTTAGGACTTTTGTTGAGCTAAGTTCAAACTAATGCCCTACAAATGAAAATCATTACTTCACAATTTCCATTCCCACCACAAAGATTCTCTAAGTTCCCTATTTTTCTTGAATAAGAAAAAAAAAATACAACTATTCACTAAAAGGAATGAAAAAATAAAATAAAACTTTAGTGGCTACTGCAATTTTCTAGATCTAATTGTTAGCTTTTAGTGTACAACTTAATGGTTTTGCTCATGCTCTTTTATTCTACAGAATTGCAAAGTTAATTGAGGAAAAATATTAATTCCTTAAATAAAATTTATATATTTTACCATCTTTTTACTTTCAGCAATATTTAAGCTTACTAAAGGAGAAAGTATTCCATTCCATTTATTTTCTTTCTAAAAATGAGAAAAATACTTTAAATGACAAAATTTTTAATAATATATTTTTGTTTTCTCTCTAAAACATTAATATGTTTCCCTTAAGTTGTAGATTCATTTTTTGTAAATATTACTAATGTAAATGATTCTGTTAAACAAAATTATCTGGTAATTTATAAATAGTAATACTTATTGGAAAATTAATAAATGGTTTTCATAAAATTTCTTTTTTTAAAAAAAGATATTTTATTGATTTTTTACAGAGAGGAAGGAAGAGGGATAGAGAGCTAGAAACATCGATGAGAGAGAAACATCAATCAGCTGCCTCCTGCACACCCCCCACTGTGGGGATATGCCCACAATCAATGTACATGCCCTTGACTGGAATCAAACCTGGGACCCCTCAGTCCGCAGACCATCCACTGAGCCAAACAGGTTTCAGTAAAATTTCTCATATTAGAAAAAATATTCTAATTTCTGAAGATAGGGTTTGCACCCTGAAGTTTGGCTGTTGGTCACATGACTACCTAGAAAGCAACATTTGGGGTGAACTCTAAGGATGACAATAGTAAGAAAAGTTCACTGTGGCACCAATAACACATTTCCATATCACTTAATTTTCATAATCACAAAATATTGACAATGGTCCTTTTTTAAAAAATAATGTGGCAAATTCCAGACTCTGCTAATTGAATGAGAGGGTTTGGTGTTTTTGTTTTATTTTTCCCCCCTATAATTTTTAAAAACTCAATTTCCTCTTTAAAATATTTTTATTAACACTCATGACTAATGAAAACAATTCATATTTGAATAAATAAAAACTTACCACTTGGAGAATGTCTTCATCTTTTGGCATAACACTAAGTTCCAATGTTGTATCACTGAAATTGAAAATATACAAATACTATTTTAGGGGATGTGGGAATATATAAGAAAGACATCAAGAAAAAAAATAGTTAACTCAGAAGTATTTCTTAAATAGATTAAAGTTTAAGTTTTGGTTTTTAAAAAAATCTTTACTTTTTAAAATTCTAAGCATTAAAATTAAATTAATTCAAATATATATAGAAACACACACACACACACACACACACACACACTCTCTCTCTCACACTAATTATATATAAAAAAGAGCACCCTGCCATATATTCAAGCTATTCATAACTAGTCAAGACTTCCTTATAATTTAGAAACATAATTTAATTTAGAAACAAAGTATATTACTTATATTAAAAAGTCCTAGAATAAAATTCATCATTATATAATTTGTCATTATTTTACTTCAAGTAACAGAATAAATCACACATTTTTAGCATATATTACCACTATTTATCAAGTTAACAAGTACATGAACATAAAAATAACCAAAGATCCCTCACATTTAACATTTTAAACCATTCTCATTTTGAAATATTCCCTTTGGTCCCCAGAGGTGAAGAAAATCAGAGTTCACCATCACAAGTTTTTTTTATTGTTGTTTTTAATGTTTCTATTGATTGTAGTGATGGGGAAGGGAGAGGGATAGAGAGATAGGAACATCAATGAGAGAGAAATCATCGATTAGGCTACCTCTTGCATGGCCCCTACTGGGGATCAAGCCTGTAACTCAGGCGTGTGCCCTGACAAGGAATTGAACCATTGACCTCTTGGTTCATGGGTCTCTGCTCAACTATTGAGACACACCAGCCAGGCACAACTTATTTTTCCATTGATTTTAGAAAGAATCATGGAGGGTGGAAGAGAGGGAGAAAGAGAGGAAGAGGAGGAAGGAGAAAGAAAAGGAGGGGGAGGAAAAGGAAGGGGAAGAAAAGAGGGAGGGAGAGAAAAGAGATCAACTTATAACTTATTTTTAAAAACGATATGGTATTTCAACTACTGTGCTTTCTTCTTTATAATTGCATTTTAGAGCCTTTACAGGAAAACGCAACATCTCATTTCATTTTGGTACTATAAATTTCCTGTTCAAAATGATAGACCATTTATCTACATATGAAAAAGTTCAAAGGAGTAAATTATATTGAGTCCTGCGACCTGGAATTGCAAGGAGAATGGTCCTATCCCCATCAAGTGCTTCAATATCTAACCTAACAATATCAAGTAGCATTTTCCCTGATACAATCAAGAGATTAAAAAACAATCAATAAACAACAAAAAACAAAATCTATTAATTTATGGGTGTCTCTTTTTGATAGATTTGAACCCTTACTTGGGGGGTTATAAATCTTAAGAAAATAGAAAACCAGTAAGAACCACAGGTTCAAATGAATGTAACCAGTAAAATATATAGGTATTTGTATTTCAATGTTTAGAGTTGGTAGAAAATACATACTGATATTTAGATAAGTGCTTCTGCCAGGGTACATTGTTACATTAATATACTACAGACTCTCAATGGCTTTGTGCTCCATTTTCCATTTGCTAACAACAGTAGATAAAAGGAACACAATTTTTAAAAAGAAAATAGGCCCAGCTGATGTGGTTTAGTGGTTGGGCATGGACCTATGGACCAGGAGGTTACAGTTCAATTCCCAGCTAAGGGTACATGCCTGAGCTGTGGGCTCAATCCCCAGTAGGGGGGTATGCAGGTGGTAGTCGATCAATGACTCTCTTTCATCACTGATGTTTTCTATTTCTCTCTCCCTCTCCCTTCCTGTCTATAATCAATAAAATTGTTTTTTTTTTAAATAAGAAAGAAAATAGGATCATGAAAAAACAAGATTTCTCTATTTTTCAAATTGCTTCATTGACTAAAAAATTAAGAATGTTATTTCATTTGAAAGATGAATTGCACCAATAACAAAAATAAATAATGTGGGTTTTGAGGGAAACAAAGATTATAGTTATGGTCACTTGGAAAAGCTTATTTTTAAAGAAGACATATTAACAAATCACTAAAAGTCCTCAAAATGCAGGCTGACAAGACACATTGGTATGTCTGCGATGATCTTAATTATTTCAAAGAAAAAGAAATTTGGGGTGGATCTCCCCACTGCCTCTGCAGAGACTTCAAAATGCTTCACCAGTCCCCAAGGCTCATTACTCATATCAATTAGTATCACTGTAAGAAACAGCTAACTTCAACATTAGAGGCTAGATTTAAGATTTGCTTTCTTTAAGATTGTCATTATATATTAAAATAGTAAGAATACTCTGAGATCAATAAGTCATGATCACATTATCTAATTGTAAAAATGACAATATATCAGGACATCTGTGTAACTAGCAGATTATAGTCTCAGACATCGTTAGAGAAGCTTGATAGACATCTTTATAAAACAAAAATGTTCAACTTAATTGCAGACAGGTGGGGATGGATAATATAAAGCACTATATAATTCAAAAGTTAATATATCTTAATCTGGAAAAAACCTACAGTAGTGATTATCTAGAAATTATCGATTCCAGATTCATGTATACTCTAGACAGAAATTCAATATGGTAACCATTTTTGCTTTCAATTTCTTTATTTGTAATTTAAAAAAAATTTCTAGGTGTGTGGTGGAGAAAAAGAGTGTAGAACTAAACTATCTTTGAGGTCTTATAGATAGTTACTCTAAAATATTTATTTAACTTTAGAACTCAAAATTCTATCATTCTGTATAATGCAGGTAGATAAATGGATTAAAAGATAATCTCTTGCTATATTTGTTAAAACAAATGAATAAATTTGAGCCAAGGAATATTATTCAATAAGCTATTTAAAGATTACTAATAGGTTTTGTTTGTTTTTTAAATACATTTTTATTGATTTGAGAGAGAGGGAGAGAAAGAGAGAGAGAAAGGGGAAGAGAGAAAAAAAACATTGATCGGCTGCCTCATTCACCTCACCTACTGGAGATCGAGGCTGCAACCTGGGTATGTTATGTGCTCTGACAGGAAATCAAACCACCAGCCTTTTAGAGCATGGGACGTGCCCAACCAACTAAGCCACACAAACCAGGGCAGTAAGAGGTTTTAAAATCAATTATGTATGCATTTATTTATATACTTTTGTAAACAAATTAACACTTGTCACTTCAAATAAAAGTGGGAAACTTACAGAAAATCTAAAATGCATGCCTGTTAGACTCTAATGGACTTTAACCACAGGTTTGATAAAACTGTCAAAGCAAAGCTACCAACTAGGCTATCCTGGCAACTCCCAAGTGTGTTATTCACTTTAAGAGAAAGTTCCACATCTCCACATCACACCAATTTCCTACAGAAGTACAATGTTGTATTCAATCTACTTGCTCCACTGATTTACAAAAACCCATCTTTGGCAAAATTAATTGTATTTCAAGAATCTTACCTGTTCTGAATTAAAGCAATTACTTGGGAATAGGTCTTTCCAATAACACTTTCTCCATTGACTTTTATAATTCGGTCACCTTTAAAGAAGATTAAAAAAAAAAATCACATGAAGAATTTCTAAAGAAAATCACTTCTGAATACTTTTGAAATATACCTTGAGTAATACAATTATTTTTTAACTAGAGGCCTGGTGCATGAACTTCTTGCATGGGGGTGGAAGAGGATTGTCCTTCAGTCCAGCCTGCACCCTCTCCAATCTGGGACCCCTGGAGGGATGTCCCACTGCCCATTTAGGGCAGTCGGACATCTCTCTCACAATCCAGGATTGCTGGCTCCCAACTGCTCACCTGCCTGCCTTCCTGATTGCCCCTAACACTTCTGTCGGCCAGTCTGATCACTCCCTAACCATTGCCCTGCCAGCCTGATTGATGTCTAACTGCTCCCCTGCCAGCCTGTTTGCCCCCAACTTCCCTCCTCTGCCAACCTGGTCACCCCTAACTGTCTTCCCCTGCAGGCCTGGTCCCTCCCAAATGCCCTCCCCTGCTGGCCATCTTGTGTCCACATGGGGTCAGGATCTTTGACCACTTGGGGGGAACTCTCTTGATCTTGTGTGTTGGAATGATGGTCAAACTGCATATTACTCTTTTATTAGATAGGATAAAGGTCTGGAGCTTGGGTGGGGGCCAAAACTGGTTTACACTGAAGGTGTCCCGAATCAGGGTGGGGGGTCCCTTGGGGTGTGGGGCAGTCTGGGCCAGGGGACTGTGGTGGCTTTCAGGCCGGTCATGTCCCCCTGGTGACCCACACACAGGGCCTGGTATCTGGAATTAATTTATCTTTACAATTGAAACTTTGTAGCCTGGAGCGAAACCAAGCCTTCTGCTCGCTACATGGCAGCAGCCATTTCTGTTGGTGTTTATTCACCTTCTATAATTGAAACTTTGTAGCCTTGAGTGGAGGCCTAGGCCGGCCAGGGCAAGTTGAAAATTTGGCTTCCTCGGTCACCGGGGGCAACCCTAGCCTGCTCTCTCCAGCTCCATGGCTGCCACCATTTTCTTGGGATTTATCTTCTATAATTGAAACTTTATATCCTTGAGTGGAGCCTGGGCCGGCCAGAGTGTGTGGAAAGCTTGGCTTCCTCCATTGTTGGAGAAACCCAAGCCTCCCTCCTGCTCTTTGTGGTGGCAACCATCTTGGTTGGGGTTAATTTGCATACTCACACTGATTGGCTTGTGGGCGTGGCTTTTGGGTACAGCAGAGTGATGATTAATTTGCATATTACCCTTTTATTAAGTAGGATATATCCTTGCTTATTAAAAATAAATCTGAAGTTTAATATATCTGGCTTCTTATGAAATACTACAGGCCTGGTGCACAAATTCATGCATAGGAGGGGTTTACCAGGGGAAGGGCTGTGGGTGATGGGCTGGCTGGCCCCACCCCCTGATTGTCAAGGGGACAATTTGCATATTAGCCTTTTATTATACAGGCTAGCCATGTTTTAAATAAGAGGTTTAGTCATTGATGAATTTAGACACCTCAAAAGATATAGTCACTGAGTGACCATAGCTCTATTATTTATGCCTCTATCAGCTATTTTCTGAGTTGTAGTTTTCCTGTTTACTCTGTCATTTGTGATAGAGAAACATTATTCAACAAACTTAAGCAACTGTTTTAGTACCTTAGTACTAATTCTATACAGATTATTTACTTGTAGTATTCTCCCAATCTATTTAGTTTATTGATTAGCACTGTATGACAGAACTTAAATATTGTATGCACATGATTTGATGTGTTCTTCATTTTAATAGGGAAACAAACATTTGGATTACTCAGGAAAACTTATGGGAATAGAAAGGAAAAGACTGGGAGAAAAGGACAGGCAAAAAAGGAATAAAGGAAAAAATGTCCTTTGTATGTGCTTATCACAGTATCTCCATTTCATCTTTTCAACCTTGTGAGGCTCAGAATGTGATGGGTGATACCTCTTGCAAATGGAATCCCATATGTGCATTCATGTGCACATTATACATATTAATGATATTGAAATTAGGCTTACTTTAAGTGTGATAAAAGAGATAATTAAGGTAAGTAATAAAGGCAGGTAACAATGTACCCTAATAAATCTTAGCAATGACACTCACTACTGACATTTGAAATTTATCTGTAGCTAAAAAGACATTTTATTCAAAAGCTAATAAAAAGATAGTTTTTTACTAATACCCATTTTAAATTATTTCATATTCAAAAACAAGAGAAAATAATAACTTTTTTAGAGTGTGCAAGAATGTAAATGAAATCTCTACTTAGTTTTTATTAAAATCACAAAACATTTTAGAACAAACAGCTATCAGATTATATGTACTAATAAGTACCAGCAGATGAGGCCAGGCTTGCACTGCATTAAAGAGTTAAGCTACTTTCTGTGGTGCAAGTTAATTCATTCCAATGAGGTACTTTCAGAACTAGGAGATCCAAGAAGATTAATTCAATTATGTCAACAAATACCTTAATCATTTTCCTACCTTGTAATCTTTTGTCAAAACGAGCATGTGCAGCCTGGCTAGTGTTGTCCAAATAAAATGTGTGCAGCCTGGCCAGTGTAGCTCAGTGGTTGACCTATGAACCAGGAGGTCACGGAATAATTTCTGGTCAGAGCATATGCCTGAGATGTGGGCTTGATCCCTAGTGTGGGGCATGCAGGAAGCAGCAGATTAATGATTCTCTCTCATCAATGATGTTTCTACCTCTCTCTTCTTCTCCCTTCCTCTCTGAAATCAATAAAAATAGATATTTTAAAAAAATGAAATATGTGCAAAATAGGTTCTTTTAAAGGGCCTCTGAGAGTCCATTATCTGAATGGTAAACCAAATTGCCCACAATTTATAATTTACATTAGTTATTTCTGTTCAAACCCATCTATTTGGCACCAACAAATAATCAGGTTTCAAAAAATAATAATAATAGATGTAAAGAAAAGGCAGAAATAAGCAAAAGTATAACTAAGGAAAAAATTAGGAAGTGAAATATGGAAGAAGAAAAAAATGGAGTGAAAAAGAAGGTGTTGTGTAAAGAAGAATATCAGCACCTGTGCATAATCCGGCCTCAAAAGCTGGTCCTCCTTCTTTAACCTGCTTAACAAATATGGTATCCATTGGTTCCAAACGGTTTCTTTGTTTTCCTGTAGAGAGAAAATAAAGCCCAAAGCATAGTTTAATTTCACAATATTTTATTGAAATATCAAAATGTAAAAAGTAATTTATTTGAAACAATTAATGATTATGAATGAATATTAAATACATACCCTAAATTTGTATGCTAAAATCATAATTTAGGAGTTTTCACTGCACTACTCACTACCACGTTTTAACCTTGTCTTGTGCTAAATGAGCTTTAAGTTATAACAATGACTAAGGCACAGTCCTTCCATCTTAAGGATTCTGGTGGGAGAGAAACATACAAAGAATGGTATTATACACTGAGTGGCCAGATTATTATGATCTCTGAACACATAATAATCTGGCCACTCATATATATGAGAGGCCTGGTGCATGAATTAGTGCATGGGTGGGGTCTGGCCAGCCTGGCCAGGGGGAGGGGACATGGGCGGTTGGCAGGCCTGTCTGCTGGTCAAACTCCTGGGAGAGGGGACAATTTGCATATTAGCTTTTTATTATATAGGATATATACTGAGTGGCCAGATTATTATGCGTCCAGAGATCATAATAATCTGGCCACTCAGTGTAGTGTAAAATATATACAGTCCTGACTATGAGGAACACACAATCACCTCTGTGAGTCAAGTATTTCATAAACTGCTGTCCATGAACCATCTATAGTAACATCCAACCAAGGTGCTTGCCATAAACCAATGTTCCGGGTCCAATAAGAGACCTACGGGACAAGTGTCCCAGATGATCCTAACACATACTAATATTTGAGACCAACTAACAGTTTCAGTAAATTAGAAGCCACGGAAAATTTCACAGATAAGAGGACATTTAAGCCAAATGATAAGCATCATGATAAGTAGAATGGGGAACAAAAAGGGAAACACACACACAAAAAGGGGAGACAGTGGTTCTCAGAGTGGTCCCAAACCAGAAGCGTTTCTCTCATCACAGAATGCAAACTTTTGGACCCCACCCCAGATCTATTGAATCGGAAACTCTGAGGTGACAGTGAAACACACTCCAGTTGGAGAACAACAGCCCTGACCTTAAAGAAGAATATGACAAACACATGCATGGAGTAATGGAACAATACTTGTTAAATAGCAATGCAAGGCAGAAAATGATTAGATGCAAATATAAAGAATTCATAATTATTTCCCATATAAAACTGAATTTTTATTATTATGGTATATCACGAAAGTGGCCCAAAAGAAGGTTCCCAGGAAAGGAAGATTAACAGCTCCCATTACATACTTAGTTATTTACTCTGAAAGAAGTCTTCCTAATTAGTGAACCACTAACTCAAGTACTAAAAAAAAACAGAGTTTAGTGAAAATTGCTTGTGATTTAGAAATAAGTAAATAGTGACTCAAATCCTTACTTTGCTATTTGATAGTTCAGTTGCAATTAAGTAAACATTTTTAAATAAAGAAATAATTACTTTTTTCCTATAATATAATTATTCTATGTTTTTATACTCCTCAAGGGGTTCTCAGAAGACTAAATGTGGTAACGTTAGAATGCTCTTGGCATGGCGTGTAATTAAAATAATTCCTCAGTAAATGTATATTTCCACTCTTCATTGCATACAGCTTAAATGTGGATGAGTGTCATATTTTTATGTTCTCAATAATTAAAATTTTGAATGGTTATAAAAACACACTTTCAAAATATCTCATCCAATTTTAAATACTATAAATCTACATTAAATATATATCAGATAACTTCCCAAGGAAATTCCATATAGCCTTCTCTCTATATTCAGATAACATGAAAATATTGTAAATCCTTTTGTCACTATGACAGTTATGACAGACAACCATGAGGACTTTATCCATGACATTTAGGAGGAAAAAGAGAATTAATAATAGTCAAATTCCTACTACATAGAAGAATGTTCTAATTCTTAAAGTACTTAGGAACTAATTATATCTGCAACTTTATTTTCAAATGATTTGAAGGGGAAAAATAAACCAAGATACCCACATACCCAGACACAAACATGGATAAAGTAAATATAGCAACATGTTAATTGGTGAATCAAGAAGCTATACTTTGAAAAAAGTTATTTTAAAAAGCTGGGGGAATTTTTCTGTATATGCCATGCTTTATTTTCTTTCATAAAAGCTATCACTACCTAAAATTACATTTTCATTTGCTTTCATATTGGTTGTATGTCTCTCCCACTAAATTGAAGAGTAGGGATTTTGTCATGTTCCCTTATATCCATGACACCTATGACAAAACCTAACACAGAGCAGGCATTCCATAAGTCATTATTCAATTAATGAGTAAACTTATTAATTCTCATGAGTCTTCACGATGGGCGCTGTGATCTCAATATCACACTGAACTGAGGTAGAAGCAGAGACTGACTACTTGCAAAGAGAGCAGGGATTTGAACCCAGGTTGGCCATGCTGCTTCAAACGGAACTGGATTACTTACTCATTTGTCAAGCTTTATGGAATACAAGTAGACAGTCCACTTACAACTAATTAGAAAGGATGCAAAAACTTAGTTCTAATCAAATTGGTAGTCAGGCTAGGTTCCTTGCTGGCCAACTCAGCCTTTACAATAGGTGGCATTAGGTAAACCATCTATTTTTTTTTCTTGGCTTAAGACTTGAGGGTTTAATGTTTTGTCATATCAGGTCATTGCTTGCATTAAAAAAAAATTATATAATAAAAAGAAGAAATATTTTTCTTATGTCTTCTAAAATATAAAATGTCAATGACCATTAGTGAATTCTACAAAATAATAAACAGTTGGCTGATAGCAATGTAGTGACTTTTGAATTTTTTGATAGAAAATTTTATTTATATAGAATACGTAGATGTAGTCCAAAATAATTTGATTCTAAATTCAATAAAGGAAATGTAATTTTGCAATCACTACTTGTGTAAAAAAATGACACTTTGCCAATGACAAGTTCTTCAATACATATGAGTAGACTAAATGAAATAAGAAATAGACTAAAAAAGAGCCCAATCCTATAGCAAGCTCTATTATATCTGCTGAAACCTATACTTTTGATTCTTATTTCTGGGCTTTCCTTTCTGGACTTTCTCCAAAATTCTGACTTGTTATTACTACCTAGATATCACCTTTACCACAGAAAAAATTTCCCATAGATACCCACTAATTACAGGCTGGGTCACTACAAAACATATGTCTCCTCAATTTCCATATTCTTTAACTCCAAGTCTTGAGTTAAATAACTGGTTCATTAATTTGAACAGTGTCTTCTTTTTAATATTTGCTCTTTGCAATTCTACTGGAATTGAAAAGCCATGGTATCGAGTTTAAAGTGTATTATTCAATCTCATGTCTTAATTTTTTTTTAAATCGGTTTCTAGATATAAAAAACTAAGAACTTGATCTTGAATTCTGGCAATTCTCCAGGAAAAATGACTCCTCACTTCTGTATGACAATTTGGCAGCATCAGATGGCTTCCCTGGCAATTCTTAGCAAAGCCTCTCCAGTTCTACATCTGTATTTTATAATTTCTCGTGTTTTTTTTTTTTTTTTTTAAGAGCACAAAGGACAGTTTAAATACCTTATTCATGTGTCATTTCCTTGACCTTATCAAAAGAAAAGAAAAATGTTTCCTTTTAGCATCCACATGTAATTAAATCTTTCTATATTTGAGAAAAAGGAAGTAAAAATACAATAATCTTACATGGACAAGAATGGCTAAAATGAGCAAGTACAGACAAAGTCTCATTTTATGCTATTTAATATACAATTAGTAAAGATTTAAATAAGAGAACAAAAAGAAACATACGTGAATTTATCTGAAGTTAAATATTAGACTTTGAAATCAGAAACCATGCACATACTTTTATATTTTAATAAATATAGTCAGTATGGAGAAAAAAAATAACTGAGTAAAAAAATAATATATATAGGGTATCCAAAAAATGGATACAGAGATTTTGAATAATTATAAAGGCAGTGGTTATTAAAATATATTTCATTTTCAAAATTGAGCTATCAGTTGTTAAAGTGTATGTACATTTTTTTTGAGACACCCTTAGGTAGTAGCTGCCAAACAAGCAATGGATAAACAAGCAGGTAGACATCATTTTTATTCTCCATTTCGAGTATCATGCAAGTAAGTAGGTCAAAGGGTGGGCCCTCTGACCTGTCTATATGGTTTAAAATCTCGGCTCTACCACTTGTTTTCCAAGTAGGATTTCCAGATTCCACATATTTGGTACATACTTGTATTGAAAATTATTAGTTACCTACCAGAAATTAAAATGTAATACATTGCCTCCTGTATTTTATTAGGCAACCATATCTCAAAGTGAATTTTTAAATTTGGTGTTTTTTTTTTTTTTACATTTTTATTAATTTCAGAGAGAAAGAAAGAGGGAGAGAGAGATAGAAACATCCATGACGAGAGATAATTGTGCTATTATCTCTCATAATAGATTGGCTGCCTCCTGCAAGTCCCCCACTGGGAATCGAGCCCACAACCTGGGCATGTGCCCTTGAACGGAAACAAACCTGGGACCTTTCAGTTCGCAGGCCGATGCTCTATCCACTAAGCCAAATCAGCTGGGCAATTAGACAAATATTTATTTACTAGTGGCTCAGTGCATGAAATTCATGCACATTAAAAGGGAATTAATTAGAGGAAATATTTTAATATTACTATTTGCAAATTCTCTATAATAAAAGTGTCAAAGATGAAAAAAAAATAGTAAAATGTATATGAAAATCTCCCTCCTGTCAGAGTCTGGGGAGCACTGCAGGATCCAGAGTCAAGTCCCTGTCCACCCCCACACACCTAGAAATCCTGTGAAACCCAGACCTGGCCAGCCCCACTCCCATCAAGCCCTATAGGGAGGGGTACATAGCCTCAGGTTCCTGCGCAGGGGCAGGAGGTCATGAGGACCATTTGCATATTAGCTCTTTATTATATAGGATTCCTACCTAGCAAGGTTGCTCTCAGTATTAAAAACAGATAATCCATTAAAATGCTCACATAATGTCAATAC